TGCCAGCAGGAGCTGAGCTGAGCTGAGCTTCTGCTGCTCTCGGTGGCAGTGTCACACACAGAGCCATCAAGAGATGACACTGTGCTCGGAACCTAGGAGCCAGCGCGGGGTTGCCTGCTCCTTCCTCATCCTCACCTGGCTGGTCTGGGCGTGGCTTCCCATCCTGATCAGTTTGGCTGTTGGTATGGGTGTGACTCTGCACCTGGGCAGCTGAGCACGTGTGTCGCACACATGCCACCACCCGAGGCGTATGGTGACTTCAATGAGAGCGACTGTGGTGTTTACACACACTGTCTTCCTTGTGGAGAGGCCGTTCATGGCCTGCCAGGACACTGTAATTATTCTTCTCCCACCGATGGTTTATTCTCCCGGGAATAATAGCAGCCTTGGGTTTTCGTCTGCTTTGTTTCAGTGTCTGTCATCAATCCCGTGCCACCCTGCCCTGTCTGACCCTCTCCCGCACGTGCTCCAGCCGGGCAGGTGTCTTGCTGCTTTCATCTTGCCCAGAAAGGTCCCGTGGAGGGGCCCAGCGAGGCTCAGGCTGGGGACGCTGGTCCCCACAGTGCCTGGCCAGCTCTGGTCCCCTCTGCCTATGGTGGCCCTTCTCACCCTCTCCCTGGGAAATGCCGTCTGGCTTCTTTCCGAGCTCTGTGGGGATGGCACACTGACCTGTCCTCCAAGTTCGGGACAGGCCAATCTGGGGAGTGTGTCTGGGGACACCCTGGCGACCTCCCTCACCTGAGCGTGGAGGTCAGTGCTGGCCAGGGTGTCCCGCACAATTCTCAATGTGAGGCTGCCTGGATCTCTGGCCTCCCAAGCTGCTGCAGGAGCCCAAGGTCCCAACCCATCTGTTCTGCTTCTATTGTTTCTGGAAATTACCAGAGGCAGGGCTGGGATGCGGCTCAAGTGGAAAAGTATCTGCCCGGCAGGCGCCAAGGCCCTGAGTTCAAACCCCAGCACTGCCAAAAACACAAAAGCAAAACTAGAAACTTTTTTGTGCCCAAGTTCTGAAATGTCACTCAGAGTTCTCTCTCCAGTTAATTCTTACCCAGAGTCTGGAACCAGCGGTGTCACACGCACTTGCAAACTTTGCTTCCCAAACTCCTCCTTCTCTGTGTCTGAAACTCAGCCTCTTCCTCCCAGCCCCACCTTTTCACATCCACGCTGGGACCTGAGGAGCCCAGGAGAGAGGGGACGCTGGCATTTTTGTCCTCTGTGTTGACTCTGGGTGGACCCCTTCTACACAGGAAGTTTGGGTTCAAGAAAGTTACCTTGTAAGGGCCAGGTGTGGGGCGCACACCTGTGATCCCAGCTACGCAGGAGGCAGAGACAGGGCAACTGGGAGTTAGAGGTCACCCTGGGTAAAGTTAGCAAGACCCCATCTCAAAAGCTAAATACACTTCTGGGGCAGGTTCCTCAAACTTGTCCTTTCACTTGCAAGTTGGCTTTAGCTCTGCTGCCCCATTTTTTTTTACAGCCAAGAGCTCTCTTTTTCATTTACTTTATTTTATTTTGGCAGTACGGGGATTTGAACTCAGGCCTCATGCTTGCTAGGCAGACACTACCACGTGAGCCACTCCACCAGCCCCTCAGCCAGGAATTCTCTTTGGGTTGTCACCTTTCCTTACCCCATTGCACCCCGTGTCCCTCCCGAGGCCTCCAGCACACCCCATCTTCAGAGCTCTTGCTTATATGCTCATATTTAAGAATGGGGGGGCAGAGGAACTTGGAGGCTTTGAGCACTGGGAGGGGTTATTAACTATGAGCTGGGGACCCCACAATGTCATCATTTTAAGGTCCTTTCTCTTTAGTTATTCAGATCCCCAGGCACTGGTCTGTCCTCCTGCCTGGAGGGCAAGGCCAGCGGGTCTCTGTGGGGCCCTCCTGGTGGCATCCTCTCCTCCTCCCCCTCCTCCAAAGTGCCTGCTGCTTCCCATTCCTGTCTGAAACACTTGTTAAGCCGTTACAGAACCGCCCCCTTGGTTAACAGCAGGAAGCTGGGTTAGAGGGTCGGTTATCTCCAGGCACATCTGCGAGCCAGGGACTGGGTGGCCCCGAGGACTGTGAAACTCACAGCTACTTTCTGAGGAGAAAGAATTTGAAACGCAAACTAAAATTGTAAGTTGATTGAAAATGGTAGACTAGTCAGTCGCACTGTTTCAGTGTCGCCATGGCCAGCCTCTCTGCACCGGTGCCACGGTCTGCTCTGGATCTCACAGAACAGAGTCATCAAGCAGCCTTGATGACAGTGTGGTAACCACGAGGCACTGATGTCCCCATCTTCCACCCTCCACACCCTTGTGCTGATTTTCCCCGGAATTCCCGCCCAGAGCACATGCACCCCACCCCGGACGGCCCACAAACCACAAGTTCTACAAGTCTAAAACTCACACATGAACCAGGTGCCCACGGCTCACGCCCGTAATCCCAGCCACTGGGGAAGCACAGAACAGGATTACGGTTCCAAGCAAGCCCGGCTTTCACAAGACCCTGTGTTGAAAACATCCAACACAAAACAGGGCTGGCGGAGCGGCTCAAGTGATAGAGTGCCTGCCTGGTAAGTGTGAGGCCCTGAGTTCAAATCCCCAGTACAGACAAAATAACTAAAATAACACAAGCTTTCACCCCCAAGCTCCTCATCAAAAGTACCAGAGTGCTGTCAGCACCCACTGGAGAACCCTTGTCACCTCTGCCTTCTCCTCTCCCTCTCACCATGCTCCACAAAGCATGACGCTCAGGGGAGACCCTGGCTGCTTCTACCTCCACACTCTGCCACTCTCTCAGCCACTGTCCGAAACCCGCAGTCCACAATGCTCCCCCACACCCTAAACCCACTGCCCTGCCCCCACTGGTGTTACGGGTCTGTCTGAAACAGATCTGTCCCATCTGCCCCCAATCCCCCCTGCTCACCTCCGAGGGTGTAAGACCAGGGTCTCCCTCACCATCGGAGACCTCTTCCCCCCAGCCCCCAAACCCCATCTCCCAACCATCCCCTCCATGGCCACGCCTCCCCTGGAATGTCCACCCCACATGCCAGTCACCCAGTGGCCTTCAAGGCCTGATCCCTATGTCCTCTCCACTGTGGAGAACGCCAAGAACGAGGCTCGCTCGGGCTGCCACCTCCGTGCTGTTCACACCAGCGGGCAACCTGCACTACCTCCAGGCCCACCGCGAGCTTGACCTGGTGCCTGCAGAACGCACCCAGGAGGCAGGCACAGAAGCAGGTGCCAGTGAACACCTTCCGTGACCCGTGACCTGCAAGCTGCAGCCCCAAGCCCACCAGCAAGGAAACTGAGCCCCTCAGCACCCCAGATCTGCACTCCTGACACTCATAGCACTGCAAACTTTGCACCCCACTTTCCTAATCTCTTCCGCACCCAGACACCAGCCTTGGCTCCCGGGGTGGGGGTGGAGGAACCGTGAGGGGGAAGGAAGCCACTGTGGGAGCAATCAATGACACCCATGCCAGGCACCCAGCCTGCAACTCACACCTATTCATCCCAGGTCTCCAGGCGTCCGATTGGAAAAGAGATTATTCGTAATTATGCAAACATGGCACTCGTGCTCTCTGCCCGAGCCGAGGCTTTGCCACCAGATGTCTTGGTGGCCATGGGCACAAAGAGAAGACAGCTCTTCCTGGTGGTGACCGGTCCACACATCCCCCTGGGATGCAGGATGCAGGATGCTGATTCTAGAAGCCCAATGTCCACCACCTGCCTGCCAGCTGCGGGGTCTGTGGTCACCTGGAAGGGGACACCTAGTTCAGGGGCAGCAAGGTGTCCATCAGAGCTGAGGGAGGTGGGGGGACATCAGATGGGGGCCCCAGGACACTGCAGCATCTCTGAACAACTGCCGACTTCTCCCCCAGGTGCAAATGAACAAAATGATGACCAGAAGGGCCAGGTGCTCTGGGGGGGTCCCGCAGCGGGGATCGATCCCCGCAGACGGGAACAAGAGGTGACAGCGCATCCTGCAGGGCCCAGCACCCGCACAGTAACAGGGCTCAGAGAGGGTGAGAGCCGGACCAAGGTCACACAGCGAATGGGCCGGCGCGGGGATTCGAACCCACGGCCCCGCGGGACCTGCCCAGGCCAGGCAGGGCGGGGGGACCGACCTGCGCACCCACCACCTCCCCCCACCACAGCCGGAATTGGACCCCCGCCGCCGTCCGCGATACCTCGCCCCGGCTCGGCTTCAGGGGGAGCTGAGACCACCCCCAATCCCCTGCACCCCTCAACTTGCGCCCCTCACCTCGCCCGCCGCCTCCGCCGTCTCCGCCACCGCCGCTGCAGCCTCCCGACTAGCGGACCCTCCCGCGGCGAGGCCCCGCCCCCGGCGCCGGAGCCCCGCCCCCAGCATCTTCTCGCGAGATCTCTCCAGCGAGGCCACGAAGGGCGCCCAGCCTCAATGCGCCTGCGCACCGCCCCCGCGTCCCCGCCCTCGCCAGCCGCTGCCATGTGGCGCCGTATTTACGGCCAGAGATCGGCCACGCCCACCAGCCTCTGGAAAGCCCCGCCCGGTCCGCAGCTGCCAATCCTCGGCGTTGATGTGCAGCGGCGGGGCGGGGAGGAGCTTGAGGGGCGGGGCCTGCTCTGTGGTCCGAGTTGGGAACCTGCAGTTGCAGCAAAGGGTGATTCTTGGTTAACCTACCTTAATGGGGCGCCTGCTGTATACTAAACTCGTTAGTGACGCTCGTCTCATTGGCAGAGGATCGTGATGCTCACTAGCTGGGGCTTTGGACCTGCTGTGTGACCTTAGGCAAGTGAATTAACCTCTCTGAGGTTGTTTATAAATACATTTTTTTAAAGGTAACAACACTACCGTGTGGGGAGTTGGGAGAATCAGATGAGATGCTGAGTTTGAAAGGTGCCCGCTGCAAAGCGAGCACGCAGTAATTGTTATTCCTGCCGTCGGTGCCACCCCCGTGACGTTCAGCCGCGCGTGGCGACTCCTTCCTGTAATCCCAGCTGCGCGGAGGCTGAGGCGGGAGGATCCCGATTTCAAGGCCGGCCTGGGCTGCGCCTAAGGAAAACGGAAAAGGGTTCGCGTGAGCGACCGTCCCACGGAGCTCTCTCAGTTCATGGTGTTCAGGAGGCCCAGCCTTCCTCGCAGTGGTCAGCCATAATGGCCTGCAGGAGTGGGGGACACACCTGCCCCTCTTCTCCTTCTTGCACGTGTGACCTCGTCGTACCTTCATCTTCAACAGCGTCCGTCTGTCCCAAAGCAGGGGTGACTGTCTTTCTACGGTCGCCAGGCTCTCCTGGCACCCTGGAAAGCGGTGTCCCCAGTAGGTGGGCCCTGGGTGGCAGAAGCACTCAGCAAACACGCTGGTTATGGGCTGGTTCTGAGGTGGGGAGGGGACAGTTGTCGCTTTAATAATAGGAGTGGACACTTGCAGGTGGCCTCCTGTATCCTCAGGAGGATCACAGCCCGAGGCGGCCTGGGCGAAGCAGGAGACCCCATCTAAAAAACGGCTGAAAGCACGGGGCCTCGAGTTCAAATCCCAGTGCTGCCAAGGAAAGGCTCCGTCCTCCGCCATTCTAGAACTGGCGCGGGTGGTGGTTCCCCGAGGCTCTCGGCTGCCTCCTGGTCATCTTCTGTCCCCCATGTCCCCTGCCCATGTCCCCTGCCCTCTGCATTCCGCCTGTGTCCGGATTTCTATACAGATCAGAGCCACCCGTGACCTCCTCTTAACTCAGCCGCCTCTGAAGGGCGTCACCAAATGAGGTCCCACTGGGGACACGGGCTCAGGACTCCAGCCAGCTTTCTTTTTTTGGAGGGGGCAGGACAAACCCACCATCAAAATTACATTTGAAATGTCATTTCCTATGACATAATTCCAGAATAATCTAAGTGAGTTGTGAACACCGACAGCCCTGGGCCTCCTGCGTGGGGTGGGGGTGCAGAGTGGCTCAGCGCAAGGAAAATGGTGGTTTTGAAGCTCGCCCCTTCCTGGGAACCCCGCAGCCCACTCCCCGCATTTTCCTAAGAGCGTGACATAAATAAATATACATATATATAATTTTATGTTTTGCAGCACTGGGATTTGAACTCAGGGCCTCATGCTTGCTAGGCAGCAGCTCTACACCTTCAGCCACTCCTCCAGGCCTTTTTTGTGATGTTTTTTTCGAGATAGGGTCTCTCAAGTTGTTTGCCCAGGCTGGCTTTGAACCGTGATCCTCCTGTCTCTGCCTCCTGAGTAGCTGGGATTACAGGCGTGAGTACCAGAGCCCGGCTTATGAAATTTATATTCTGCAGAACCTGCGAATGAATGCTTCATGACCTTGTCCCCCAAACATCCTGCCCCCAAGAACTGAGGAAAACAAGATGCCCTCATCTAGGTGATAAATTCCACTGAGCAATAAAATGGTTGGGGGTGTGCAACAATGTAGCAAAATGTAGCATGTGACAATGGAGTGCCATGTGCAACAATGTAGCAAAGTGTGGCATGTGACAATGGAGTGCTGTGTGCAACGATGTAGCAAAAAATGTGAAACAATGTAGCAGTATGTGACATGTAGCTGGACTTCAAATGCATTGTGCTGTGTAAAAGATGCCAGTGTCAACATCTTAATTACTTTGGGAGTCCATCTACAGAATGTTCTGGAAAAGAGATAAGTACAGGACAAGAGAAAAGTACAGGACAGGAACCTTCCTGGGCAGGGGAGCGGAGTCATTGCCATGAGGGTGCTCGGTTCCTTAGCTTGGCTGCGGCGCTCACGGTGGTGACATGGCCGAGTGTATGACACTTTACACGGGTGATTCCACCTCCATTGAAACAATCCTTTAAGATGTCACCTCCCCGCTGACATTTTGGTAGTTACTGACAAGTGGTGCTAAATGAAGATTCAGCGCAGTCATGGACCAAGAGGGCTGTATACAGAGGCGCTCAATTAATGCTCACATGAGATCAGCAATCCCCAAACTATATCCCCCGAAATTTGCAGTCCCCACACTAGCAAAGCCTTCTTGGGATTTTTTGTTTGTTTGTTTGGTTTGGTTTGCTTTGGTTTTTGAGACTGGCTCTCACTATATATCCCAGGCTGGCTTAGAACTTGAGATCCTCCTGCCTCTGCCTCTCAGGCTGGGATTACAGGCGTGAACCACCACACCCGGCTAGGCAAAGCTTCAACGGCCATCTGGTCAGGAGTCAGGACCTAGAAGCCCCCATCCTGGGGGAGGGAAATGGGGACAACCGGGTCATGAGTGCTGGCCCCCTTTTGGGGGAGCTGAAAGCTGTTGTGTCATTAGTTGGTGGTGACTGTCCAGCATCTCAAGTGGACTAAATGGTACTGAGTGGGTCACTTTAAAACGGCCACCTTTCTGCATCTCAGAGGAACATTTTTATCCTCTGCCCACTTACAGAGAGGGAAGCCGGCTCAGAGACGCCTGCCAGCTCCCCAAAGGCACACAGCTGTGAAAGTGACAGAACCAGGACCAGAATCCAAATTCAGGGCTTCAGTGACTTCTGGCGAGGAACGCACCTGGCAGGAGGGGGTCTGTGGAGGCAACTGTGCCCTCAATGGTGACTGTCACCTTTCTCTCGGCTCCAAGCTCCTAGCGGGTGGACAGACCCCAGCTGGCTGCTGGGCCCCGTGCACAGGGGATGGCGTCCCTGGGGCTCAGCTGGTGTTTTAGGAGGGGAACTTCCGATGTCCCCTGCTGACTGTGTCAGGTCCTCGTTTCATAACCAGGGTGGCAACAGAGAAAGGCAGAAGTGACGGAGCCAGGGTGAAAATGGCGGAAGGGTCACGGCTGCCACTGAAGAGGCTGCTGGAGGCCAGACGGTCCCGGGCCCCCAGGCTTTTAAGTGTCTAAGCTGCGGCCACCAGGCTCAGTCTTTGGGGTCCCCACACCCCAAGTCCTGTCCAGCCTGCTGCCCCTGCTGCTTGCTGCAATGGCCAGGTACACGGTGTGTTTCCATTTGAAGGGGACACAAGCGCCCCTTGGGGAAGGAAGGGGACCTCGGGGCCGGGCCATTTGGGGTCACAGAAGGCCAAGGTGGGGTGGGCCCAGGTCCTGGCTTGGGGGAGCACGCAGCACTCCATTCCCTGTGACAAAGGCCCCATGGGGGTGTGGACAGGAAGCTGAGGACCCCTGGGACTGAGTTGTGTCCCCAAACTGATGGTGATCACCTGTCCGCTGTCACCTGTATGGGAGGTGACGAGGTCGTGCATGGGGTCAGCGCCCCCATAAGAGGGACCTGGGGAGCCCCCACCGAGGACGCAGCCATGGACCCCATCCTGGCCATTGCCATCACCTGCTTCCACCCAGACCTGACAAAGGGACTCCGCTGCTTGCGGGCCTCCCGTGTGGGGCATTTCATCCTAGAAGCTGAACGGACCGAGAGGCCATCTATGCCTCCCCACCACCGTTCCTCATTTATTTAAAAAGTCTCATTAGCGTGTTTGAAAACTGCTCAGCAGGGCCTGGGGACATGGCTTGGTGACAGAGGCTCACCTAGCACGTAGGAGGCCCTGGGAAGAAGAAAGAGGAAGGAGGAGGACGAAAGTAAGCCTCTCCCTCATGTCCTTTGCTGGGCCACCATCCCCGTTTTACAGATGGAGACACTGAGGCATGGGGGGGGACATGAGCTGTCATGGGGCCCAGGCTGTTTGGCTGGGACGCTCACCACACCTGCCTCTGGGCCACATGGCCTTCCTTGGGTCCAGGCCCTGTCCTGCCACACTGCGGCCGTGTCACGCACACGGTTACATCCCTGCATGGACATGAGGTCCATCCAGGTGTTGGCGAGGGCTGCAGGAAAGACGCTCTGTGTGTCCACTGAGCGCCGGGCGCCATCCGCGTGTAAGCTGCATAGTTTTGCTCCAGGAGGAAAACATCGGTGGACATCGGTGGGATATCGCGATGGACGCTGGCAGCCCTGGTCAGCAGGGCCTGGGGACGACATAGGAGGGAAGGAGGAGGGAGAGGAGGCACCCTGGGGATCCAGATCACAGAGTGGCTGCCCAGGAGAGGTGTGCCCACCATCACGTCCCACTCCCTGTGTGGCTCCTCTAAACATGGGAGCCACAGCTCAGCTGAGCCAATGGTGGGAAAATGCTTGACGAGTGAGATAAATCCATTGCTTTAATTTAATCTTATTTTGGCGGCACTGGGATTTGAACTCAGGGAGTTGAGCTTGCTAGGCAGGTGCTCTAGCCTTTTTGCTTTAGTGTTTTACAAGTAGGGTTTCCCACTTATGCCTGGGCCGCAGTCCTGCTATTTACCCCTCCCTGTAGCTGGGATTACAGGTGTGCTCCACCGTGCCCGCTGAAAACAGCTTTTAAGCAAGAGGTGTCCTGGTTCCCTTGCACACGGGGGCTTCGGACTGTTGGCTTCACCTGGAACGTGGGCCACTGGGCGCTGTACACTCCGCCTTTCATGTCAGCAAGCATTTACTGAGCACCTACTGTGTGCCTGCAGGTCTAGGGACACTCAGGAAGCAGACAGGTAACTGTGTGACGAGTGTCCAGTGGCAGTCATGACAAGTGGTGGACAGCAAGGGCCCGCTCTGCGCCAGGCCCCATTGCCAGCTCTGTGCAGTGTGAGCCCAGGTAGGGACGGTCATCTCTGGCAGGACAGAGGTGGCCAGGCTGTCCTGAGTTTGCAGAGGCATTGGTTGTGGTAGGGGACACAGCAGATGCCGGGGACAGACAGTGACAGCCAGAAGCCTGAATTTGGGGGACCTTGGGTGCCCAGGACCTGAGGACAGTGCGTGGTCAGCGCCAGGCTCTGGGAGTGACCAGTCCTGGGTCACTACAGAAAGCCTCAACCTCGCTATCTGTGACCAGGCTGAGAGGTCGAGACTCCAGGTTCCCTGCGCAGGTGGCTGTCCCAGAGGGTGAGTGACACACCCTGGCACTCAATGGCCACTGACCTCAGAAGGTGAAGCAGCCCTGGGTTGGACGCTCACACTGTCCTTGCTGTGTACTGGCCAGGGTCCTCTGTCTCAGATCCTCCTTCTCTGGCCACCAGGTGACAGCCCTGCTGGTCACCATCTACCTAGGACGCGGTGGACTCTTGGCGCTGCCGTCCCGGGGCCGATGGGTGTTGCTGGGGGTCAGCGGGCTGTGGCGTCGGCCTCCGCTGTCAGTGGACCCTGGGGCGGTCAGGGTCCTCAGTCTGTGGTCCAGGCAAAGCCAGTGCCCCAGGGGTCCCCAGCTGGATACCTGGCCTGGGCCTGAACCACACACAGCTTGACACTCACAGGGCCCAGCAGCCCTCGGGACAGAGTCCCCTCTGGTGTCACTTGCACTGTCCCTCTTCCTGCCCTGCCCAGGCCAGGGCCACCGTCTGGGCCTCTGGGACTTCCCTTCCCAACCTCCTGGGTCTTTGGTGGTCTCGGCTGCTCTGGCACTCTTGGGACCATCCCAAAGCCACTTGCTCTGAGAAGTGACACACCAGGAGCCCCAGCCATCTGTGAGGAGGACGGGGTCCTTGTGGAACATCCCCAGAGGGAGTCACAGCCTGAGCATCCATCTTGGAAACGGGAATGATGCAGCTGCACAGACACCGCGGTCAGCGGCCAGCATGGAGCTGAGGTGCAGGTGCCACTGTCCCCCAGCCCCCCACGGACAGCATGTGACAATCCTGGGAGCCCCTGGGTGAGACCTGAGGGACGCACAGGGCGGGAGGGGACGCCACTGACCTCGGATGTCATGGGGCAGGAGGTATGGCCCGCTGGGGACAGCGCTGGTGTGCCACACGGTGCTGGGGAAGGTGAAGGTGACGTCGGGCACATGGAGAATGTTCTCGTCTAAACAGAAACAGAATATTAGCCTCATTTTAGTTCCACAGTTGGGTGAGGGTTTGCTTGCTTTGCTTGTTTTCTTTTGGCGGCATTGGGGTTTGAACTCAGGGCTTCGCCCTTGCTAGACAGACGCTCTCATGGCTTGAGCCACTCCACCAGCCATTTTTTGTGATGGGTTTTTTGAGATAGGGTCTCGTGAACTATTTGCCCAGGCTGGCTTCAAACCTCAGTCCTCCTCCTCTGTGCCTCCTGACTAGCTGGGATTACAGGCATGAGCACTGGCACCTGGCTGATTTTAGTTGTTTTAAGATAGTGTCATATTCATGCTAGGACATGATCTTCCTTGTGTTTCCTGAGTAGCTGGGATGACAGGCATGTGCCACCACACCCTGCTTGTTGGTTGAGATGGGGCATCAATACATTTTTACCCAGGCTGACGGGAACTGCCATCCTTGGATCTCAGCCTCCTGAGTGGCTGGAATTACAGGCACGACCACCGCACCTAGCACAGTCCTGTTTCCAAGTGCTCAGCATGCGCGCCCTCTTGTGGCCGGTCACTTGCAGGTCACTTGCAGACGCTCTCTGAGGGGCATGGAGCCACAGTCTGCCTTTGTAACCATGAAGGACAGACAGAAGGACAGACAGGAGGGAGGGAGGGAAGGAAGGAGAGAAGGGGGAAAGGAAGGAGGGAAAGAAGGAGGGAGGGAAGGAGGGAGGGAGAGAAAGAAAAACAAAAACAGACTGAACGTTCTGCTTTCTTTTTCAAACCCGTACCTGTGTGGAAACTGAGGCTGGGTTTCGACTTGGAGCCCACAGGGATGGGGACAGCCGGGAAGAAGGTCTTCCCTGGTGACTTTGATGGCTGGAGGTGTGCGGGGACAGCTGACTGTCAGCCACAAGGTCTGCAGAGGGCGGCCGGGGTTTCTCTGTCACCTGCAGGGAAAAGGCACAGGGCAGGGAGTGAGGAGCGGTGGCTGCAGGGGGATAGGTCGAGGTTACTGTGAACCAAGACCATGTCAAACCTACTGTGTGCCTGGCCCCGTGGAGGCGAGGTCTTGCTGTGTAGCCCAGCCTGGCCTCAAACTCCCAAACCTGCCTCAGCCTCCCCCAGTTGCTGGGATTACAGGTACACACCACTACACCCAGGATTCTCGAATTTTTGCTCAATTCTGTTTTACTGAGTTTTCCCATGGGTCAACAGAGTTCAGTAGGCCAAGAATGGAATTCAAAGCAGGAACGACTGACGTCTGTGTGGAGTCGCTGCAGCCGGCTCAGTCACGGTCAAAAATGGGACGAGGCCTATGTGGAGATGGAGGTGGGAGGACCGTGGTTTGAGGCCGGCCTGTGCAAAAGTTATCGAGACTGTGTCTCAGAAAAACAAGCCAGAGCTGGCGGGGTGGCTCAAGTGATTGAGCACCTGCCCAGCAAGCGGAAAGCGTGAGGCCCTGAGTTCAAACCCCAGTACTGCCAAACAAAACAGACAAGCTGATGGCCATTTGAAGAGGAGCAGAACTGGATGTGGTGGTGATGCCTGTAATCCCCGCACTGCACTCAGGAGGCTGAGGCAGGATGGTGAGTTTGAGGCCAGCCTGGGCCACACAACGAAACCCCCCTCTCTCAAAAAAAAACCAAAAAACAAAAACCAATGGAGCAGAAACCCAGAAAGTGGTCACAGAGTGGCCCTGGTCTGGCGGGCCACCTGTTTGTGTGGGTCCAGCACCAGACACCAGAAGGACAGATGGTGGTGGCCATCAGGCCTAACGACTCAGCTCTGACCATCCTCCTAACCCTGAGCCACGCTACGCACCATTCTCTCCAATCAACACATAGATCCTGGGCTCGGAGGTGGAGGGGTGGCCTGGTCGGCACAAGGCCCTGGGTTCGACTCCCAGGACTGAGCAAAAAACCCTCGGGTCACAAATGTGCACAGCTCCCGCCACCTCCCATAGTCCAGGGCCCTCCTGTGTCCACCAGGCCTTCAGCCTGGCCCCTCCTGTGCTCTGTCCCCAGCCATCCTGGCCACACCCCAGTGAGCGGCAAGCGTGTCACCCACCGGCCGTGCATGCCGGATGAGGGAAGGTGGCTGCTTCCTCCTGGCCTTCCTGTCCACAGGGCGGTCCCCGCATGGGCTGGCGCAGGGCCACCTCCTGTCCGCCAGGCTGGAGTCCGGGGTGGCGCTGGGCTTCAGGTCCCTGCAGTCCAGGCCTGCGTCCTCCAGCAGGTGACAGCAGGAGCGGCTGCCACTGCCCTTGCGGTCCTGCATCTTGTCGTGCCTGCTGGCCACAATGAGCGAGATGCTCTTGGTGTCCAGGGCCACCTTGAGGACCTTGGCGCTCAGGGCCGGGCTGGCCGGGGTGTGCAGCTTGGAGACCAGGGTCTTCACGCCCGGGGAGCCCGGGTTCTGCAGGGGACCAGCACCACAGTGGTCAGGACAGAGCGGGGCCCCCGAGGTGACTGAGAAAAGCCCAGCGTCCATCCCCACCTCCATGTCACACCTGCCTCCTTTGCTCTGAGTCTCTCTCCTATGGTCACCTTAAGTTCCCAAACTACCCCTGAGGGGCAGCAGAGCCTGGCAGGACAGACACCCCCAAAAGAGGACAATGACCCATATGAAGGAGTCACCTCCCTGGGGGGCAGTGGCCAGATGTGCCATGTCGGAATTCCCAGAGTTGGGCATGAACTCTGGTTCCAAGACCACTGGGGGGGTCACTATTGATTGGCCCAGTGTGGTCCCCAGAAGCCGACGCAGAGACAGTGACTTCAGACAAGGTGGCAGTGAACGAGGAAGAGAGACGGGGGGCAGTGCAGGACAGGCCTAAGGAAGGGTGTGGGGCTCAGAGTGCTGCCCTGTGATGACCATCATGGGACATCTAGGAGTGAGTGTGGCATTTGAGGTGACATTGTGTCCACCAAGGGGTCAGGGCTCACAGAGCCATTGGCTGGCTTCTCCCGGGGCTGAGTCCCCAGCACAGCAAAGTGGCCCTGTGGCTCCCTGTGGGGTGGGGTGTTTTGGGGTTTTTTGGCAGGACTATGGTTTGAACTCAGGGCCTCACGCTTGCTAGGCAGGCGCTCTACCGCTTAAGCCGCTCTGCCAGTCCTCTGACATTCTTAACAAAAGAAGAGGTCAGGGCAGTGGAGCACGCCTGTAATCCCAGCACTCGGGAGGCTGAGGCTGGAGGATCTCCAGTTCAAGGCCAACCTGGGTCTCAAAAAAAAAAGCCAGGCACTCACCAGTGGCTCACGCCTATAATTCCAGCTACTTGGGAGGCTGAGATAGGGAGGATCAAGGTTCGAAGCCAGCCCTGGGCAAATAGCTTGTGAGACCTTATCTTCAAAATAACCAGAACAAAATAGACAGGAGGTGTGGCTCAAGTGGAAGAGCATCTGCTTTCCAAGTGGGAAATCCTGAGTTCAAATCCCAGTCCCACCAAAAAAGAGGAGGAGGAGGAGAGGAAGGAGGAGAAAAGGGAGAGGACACACAGACATGGGGGCAGAGATGGAGCCACAGGCCAAGGACGCCTGAAGCCCCAGGTGCTGGAAGAAGCGGGAAGGCCCCTCCCAGAGGCTCTGCAGGAGCTGGCCATGCTACAGGGGACCTTGGATTTGCAGAAAGTCCATCCAAGCCTCGCATCTGGGTGCTTCTTGGTAGCTCAGCTCACTGAGCTGAGACCAAACTCATGTCCCCAAGCCCAGGAAGGGGACGGCTCGTATGGCAGCTCCTCGGAAGCCCCTCCCACCCTCCTGGCCCAGTGCAGCCCTGAGGTGGCCTGTGACCCCCAACACCAACCTCACACGTGGGCGGCGTCAGCAGGACAGCCTTGCTTTCTCAGCTTCCTCAATGGTGTGGATTTTGACGACCTGTCACTGTCACTGCAGGTGACACAGATATCAGTGGGGTGTCTAAAGTCAAGCCTCTGCTGCTGCTCCACCCACACGGCCCAGGCTGGCCTTGAACTTGCAATCCTTCTGCCTCAGCCTCCCAAGTACTGGGATTACAGGTGTGTGCAGCTACCCTCAGCTCAGTCTGTCATTATTAAAGTGACCACCAAGGAAGGGTCACAGAGCAGAGAGGCCTGTGTTGCCCAGTGTCTGGGGTTCATGGCCTGAGCCCTGATTCCGCTCTGCCCTCACCCACCTGTCCCTGTCCAGAAGCACCGGGGCCTCAAACGGGCCCCGTGGGAGGTCCTTCCTGTCGTCAGGCTGGTTTCCGCTGCTGGACTCCTCAGGTGGCGGGGGCAAAATATTCAGAACAGAGCCATCCTGGGACCAGAAAGAGGAGCCAGGTGAGGTCAACAGGGACATGTGCAACCATGTCACCTGCAGAGGGCCCCTGGGGGGCCACAGGGAGGTTCCTGTCCTGGCCACCAGCACCCAGAGGAAGCTGTCAGCTCCTCACCTTGCTGTGCCCCACCATGGGGACAGGGGGAGGCTCTGCTGCACAGGTGTGTGGACCCACGGCTTATCACATGAGCTCACCATCAGCAAACGCAGTGCCCAGGGCACACCTGCTGTCAGAGACCTCAGAGGTCCACAGGCTGGCGAGAAGTTAAACAGGGGACATGTATGACCCAGAAATTCCACCTCTGGGTCTTTGCCCCAAAGAACTGAAAGCAGGGAACTCTAAAGATGCATCTGCACACCACGTTCAGAGCAGCATCCATCAGAACAGCAGAAGGGGGGAAGCTACATAGGTGTCCACTCATGGACGAGTGGATGCCTGAAACAGTGGAGTATTATTCAGCCCTAAAAAGGAAGGGATTGCTGACACCTGCGACAGCATGGATGAACTTTGAAGGGCTTTCGCAGAGGGAGACGAGGCAGTCAGTGGGAGCACCACTGTAGGACGGCCCTCACGGGAAGCCAGAGACAGGGAGTAGTATGGGGGCGAGGTGGGGGGGACAGCAGTTACTCTCCCGGTGCAGGACTTCGGTTTGGGAAGATGGGATGTTCAGAAGGTGGAGGTAGCTGCACAAATGCCACTAAGCTGTGCATCACAAAGGAGGAGGAGGGGAAGGGAGAGGCCATTTGTGGGAGAGCTTCCAGCTTAGCAGGTGGCCACCGCAAGGCAGGAGCAGACCACAGACCCCAGGCAGCCCGGTGAGCGGCTGCCCTTCAGCCAGGAGGCTTATTTATATTTATGTCACTGCTTTGTTTCAGCAGCACTGGGATTTGAACTCAGGGCCTCGTGCTTGCCATGCGGGCACTCTGCTCCCGAGCCGTGCCCAGCCCTGCTGGGTTCAGGTGTTTTTCACATAGGGTCTCGCACCTCCCTAGCAGCCACAAGGCCCTGGGTTCAATCCACAGCACCACAAAAAACTGAAAAAGTTTAAAAGACAGGCCGTGCACGGAGGCACACACCTGTCACCCCAGTGACGCAGGAGACTGAGGTCAGGAGGATGAGCAGTTCCAGGCCGCGGGATAAAAAGTTCTCATCAGACAAAAAAAAAAAAAAAAAAGCTTAAAATTGGACGGTCATGATCCAGGCCAGCCTGAGCAAAAAGTGAGACCCCATCTCCAAAATAACCAGAGCACCACGGACCGGACCGGAGCCGTGGCTCAAGAGGGAAAGAGGGGAGCAAGAGAGAGAGAGAGAAGGAGAGAGAGAGAGAGAGAGAGAGAGACCATGAACAAACTCAGAGCTCAGGCCCAGTTCTGAGGGATGGGACTGGGGAGAAATGCAAGGAGAGTGAGCACCAGAATCCTCAGGGGACAGCAAGTCAGTGTCACAGGCCTGGGCAGCCAAGTGGCGTCCTGTGGTGACAGCCTGAGTTTTCTGTGGAGGTCTGGAGGTTTCTCCATTCCTCTTCCAAAAAGATGACACAGAGGTCTGTGGTCTGGGGACACCAGGCCTGGGGGCATGTCAGGGTTGGTGACAGACAGTGTCCCTCACTAGCCTCTCCACAGGGATCTTCCTCGCAGGAGGAGCCTGCAAGACCCCAGAGGAAAGTCCTAGACTTCAAGTGTGTCACTGGGTCCCCGGAAGATGTGTCTCTGGTCACCAAGGCAATATGGCCCTCCACTAGGGAGGCTCAGGACTCCTTCGTGATGCTTGCCCAATGCTGAGGATCTGAGGACACCTCTAAGCTGTGCTGGCTCCCAGGCCCGCCCAGCTCACCTGTCATGTCCTCCCTCACCAAATCCCCAGCCAGGCTGAGGCCTGTGGGGCCCTGAAACCAGCCTGGTGCCAAGCTGCGGCCTGGCCACCCTCCCTCTGAACCTGTGCCTCTATGGTGACGTCAGGTCTCCTCTTCCCTCTCACAGGGCCTGGGCACGGCAGGCCTGGCAGGATGGGACAGCACTGAGCGTGGCGGGTGGCCCTCACGGCCCTCACCTGCAGGGGACTGGACATCATGGACTGCAGAAGCAGCAGGCGGTCCAGCGTGTCCTCACCCAGCTCCCGACAGTACAGCCGGTACCACTGCTCCAGGGGCTCCGGCACCTTGACACCACTGTCTGCAGAGCCAGGAAAGCAGGGATCAGAGCGGGGGCCGCACACAGCCCACCCTGAAACCATGCATGGTGTCCACCATGTGCTGAAAAGGCAGCAAGTTTGTTTCGGAAGTTTGAAGGCAAAACTCCGACCTGACAGAAAAGGCATTTCGGATGGACTGTCCTTATGTTTCTTTTCTACCTTTTTTTTTTTTTTGGCAGTGCTGGGGATGGAACCCAGGACCTCACACATGCTAGACAAACACTCTACAACTGACCTCTGTCCCCAGACCAAGTTTAAATTTCTTCTATTGTGTTCATGCATTGCCTCCTTTCAGTCATAAAATCAGGCTAGTAACAATTCTGAAGTATATGCCGGGCACTGGTGCTTATACCTGTAATCCCAGCCACTCCAGAGGCAGAGATCAGGAGGATCGAGGTTCAAACCCAGCCTGGGCAAATAGTTCGTGAGACCCTATCTCCAAAAAACCCACTACAATAAAAGGGTTGGAGGAGTGGCTCAAATGGAAGAGACCCTGCCCAGCAAGTGTGAGGCCCTGGGTTTGAATCCTAGTTCAGCCCGGTCTGCACAGAGCCAGAGAGGGCGCAACCCAAAACATCCCTTTCTCCTTCCTGGGTCAGCCAGCTCAGCTCCCTGAGTCCCCTGTGGTGTGAAAGTGCTGAGTGTGGCAGTGACCTGGACTGTGTGCTATGGGACACGAGCTAGACAAAAGGCAAGGCTCAGGTAAAGCCTGCAGGACTGCAGAGACAGACAGACAGACAGACAGAGACAGAAACAGACACAAGAGGGAAAGATAGAGACAGACGGAGACAGACAGAGACAGATAGACACACACACACAGAGACAGACAGACTCAGAGAGAGAGGAGACAGAAACAGACACAGAGACTGAGACAGACAGACAGATCCAGAGAAAGAGGCAGAACCTGAAGCCCCAGCATTTGGGAAGCTGAGGGTCACTTGAGCCCAGGAGGCTGAACAGCCTGGATGACATGGTGAGACCCCAACTCAAAAAACCAAACAAGCTAAAAAGGAAAAACCGAAGCAAAGGCCTGACAATTGTAAGTTCGAGGGAGGGAGGAGGGAAGAAGGGAAAAGAACACGGGGCAGGAACTCAGGAGAAGACACAGGGAGACACCAGGGTGGTCACCTGCTGGCACTGACCAGAGAGGGGTGCCCACAACAAAGGTCCACAGGGACACAGGACAAAAACCATGTGTGTCTTGTGGCCAGGGACGGTTACAGGAGGCCAGGCCTGTCTGCGGAGGGGCCACTCACAGAGCGGTCCCCATCAGTGCAGGCACTGGACGGCGTGGGGCTGGAGGACAACTGTGCTCTGCCGCTGGGGACTGTCCCTGACAAAGGCGGGCGCTGCCTCACCTCGCAGCAGCTGCCGCTGGCCGTGCACGAGCGGCTCGCACAGCAGCCGGTGCTGGAGGTACCACTGGATCAGGAACTCCTTCTGGCCCAGCAGGTTCTTCCGGTGCAGGTTGTCGGCCTGCAGTTCACTCTTCTCCACCTCCAGCTCGTGGGCCCGGCACAGCAGCCGCAGCACCTCCCGCTGGGCCTCGCTGGTCACCTGCTCGGGCAGCAGCCGCTCCATCTGCGAGGCGTTCCGCTTGGCGTGGGCCAGGCGCTGCTCCAGCTGGGCCTGCAGGACGTGCGGGGTCAGGGTGGATGCCGGTGTCCCTGGGGGACGTGCTCATGGTCAGCAGCTGCTCTGGGATGGGTGCTGCCATCCCCAGAGCTGCTGACCACATCTTCCATCTTCAAATCCCTAATGCAAGCTGGCGCCAGTGGCTCATGCCTGTAATCCCAGCCACTCAGGAGGCAGAGATCAGGAGGATCATGGTTCAAAGTCAGCCGGGGAAATAGTTCACGAGACCCTATCTCAAAAAACCCATCACAAGAAAAGGGCTGGGGGAGCTCAAGTGTAGGTCCTGAGTTCAAACCCCAATGCCACAAAGTAAGAAAAACGTCAGTCACATCCATAAACACCTCCACAGTGACACCTGCATTGGAGTTTGATGGAGTGCCTGTGTCCTCTAACCTGGTCAAGGTGACACAGCAAAGTAACTGTCAGCAGCCGGCTCTACCTTGGCCTGCAGAGATAATGCCTGGGCCCAGAGACGCAGACCCCAGGAACGGGTGGTGGCACCTTCAGGTGCACAGAGGAGAATGTGTTCCGGTCACCTGCTTCCTCTTGGTCTGGGGTCAGTAGGGGACAGCCTTGGAGGCTTGGCTCAGCTGCCCCAGCAAGACCCTGCTCTCCTCCCAGAGGTGTCCCCGGCTCCCTGGCTGGGGGAACAGCCGTGTCCCTGCCAGCACCCGCGCCTGTGACTGCAGCCATGCAGCCATGCTGAACTGCAGGCGGGCGTTTGCGTCTTTTCCCCTTGGATTGTGAGCTCAAGGCGTCGAACGCGCCTCGGTCACCCTCAGGTCCCCAGGGCCTGGGGCTGAGGTGGTGCTGCAGACCGCGCTCCCTTTGGTAACTACTGATTACGTGGTGAGCTCATCTTTGCAGACGCCATCGCCGGTCACAACCTCCATTTGGCTCTTGGAGTCCCTTGCTCTTGTCACTTGCACAGCAGTGGCTCAAGCAAAAGGCCTTCGCCCGTTTTTAAAGGCGGAAGGAAACACGGCCTTTAATCTCGGAGTGGAATTGCCCGGTGACCACATTGCTGCGGGCAGATGTGACAATTCTGAGAGGCTCCCGGTTTGGTCTGACCTCCTCAGACACTTCTCTTTCTCTTCAGAAAGGACGCTTGTGGTGCCCCTGTCCCTGCCCTTCTTTCTCCCCAGGGACTCTGTCCCGTGCCAGCCCTGCGCGTTTTCTGAAGTGAGACTGTGACGTATCGAGGAGTCACCACATGGGAAAAGCCCGCCGTGGCCGCAGAGCAGCCTGGTGTGGCTTCCCTCTGGCTGTGTCCCATCCTGATGCCAAGACCAGAATTGGGGGCGGACGGAGGGCACAGTGGAAACACCTTGTGAGCTGTAAAGCCGTCACTCCACGGAATGGGCTGAGGTCCGCGAAGGGCTGGCCCACGACACCCAGGACTGTGAATGCGCGTGGACCCTCCCTCACCTTGAGGGCTGCCGTTTTCTGCTGCTCGGCCAAAAGCAGGTGGACCGCTCTCTGGCCATAGCCACCTCGTGCGGCTCTGCGGACTCGCCCTCGTCCCCGCCAGCATCCACCGGCTCCTCGTCCTTGTCTGGCTCGGCCCCGTCCCTGTGCACGTGGTGGTGGGACTTCTCCCGCTCCCAGCTGTGGCCAGGACAGAGGGGTCAGGGTGCCAGTAGTGCCCAGGGCCGGGATTCCTGTACCTCTGTCCTAGAGCCTCTGTGGCTCCCGCTGGCCCTTCACAGGTGCAGGTGTAAAGGGCAGCCCGATGACCTTTCCTGCATATGTGTCCCCCAGCCCACCCGGAATCGCCCACGCCACCTCCTAAGAAACGCGCCCCTCTGAGCCTCTGTCTCCTGGTTGTAAAGCTGGGGTGACAACAGCCTGGGGGCCTGGGGTGCTCACGAGGGGAACTCAGCACCCCGGGCTCTGTGAATGAGGCGAGGTCCCAGACTGAGTGTGAGCACGAGGATCGTGGACCCAGGCAGGAAGGGGGCACTGAGGAAGCCGGGTGAGTGGACCTCTTGCTGCAAAGGCTCCCTGTGAGTACATTTTAAAGTAAGTCTTGTGCTGTTTGTGCAATAGACGGGGGACAGGCATGTAGTTCACACCTGTAATCCCAGCTACTGGGAAGGTGGAGGGGGGACTGTGGTTCAAGGTTGCCGTGGGCAGAGCCATGAGACGCGATCTCAAAAATAAACTCAAAAAGCAAAAGGACTTGGGGGCTGGCTCAAGTGGCCCGGGGGGCGAGGCTGTGAGTTCAAGCCTCAGTACTGCCGAAAGAAAGGAAGGAAAGCAAGAGAAAGAAAAGGAGAGAGGAAGAAAGAAGGAGCGAGACACGAGAGAAGAAAGAGAAAGGAAAGAGAAGATGGAGGAAGGAGGAGGAGAGGCTCAGCAGAACGGGCAGTGGGGGGGAGGGACTTAGTAGGTTAAATCACAGAACTGCCTTAATTTACCCAGAGTGGCGGCCTTGGGTCGTGGCTTCCCCGGGAGAGCAACCTGCTGTCCCAGTGTAATGCTAACACTGCCCCTGCCCTCCCCAAATGCCCTGGTGTGGGTGACGGGCATCAAGGTCAGTCTCTCTGCACGCGGTCACTCTACCCTCATAGGGACAGAGCGTGGCCCAGGACAAACCCACATCTCGGCGCCTCAGCATCCTGTGTCATAAAATCTTCTGGTCCTCACCTGCCCTCCAGGGCAGGCTCTGGACCCTGGCCTGTGAAAGACCCAAGGGACCTGGGCAGAAGAGTGGAAAGCAGGGGCACAGGAGTCCTGCTTGGCTAAAGTCCTTCTTGGGGACCTGCAGCCGGTAGCAGTGAAAGGGCTCCAACCAGGGCCCCTCTGCCCCACCCAGTGGGGACGCGCTCACTCTGCGATGGTCAGCAGGTGGCGAGATGTGTCCATGCGCAGCTCGATGCTGGCGTTCTCCAGCTCCACCAGGCTACGGCGAATTGCCAGCTGCTCCCGGACCACCCCAGCAAGCTGTGCCCAGATTCTGTCCATCTGTAGGCAGCTCTCCTCCTCTGCATCATGCGGGGTGACAGTGACTGCGGGCAGGAAGGGACCAGGAGCGGTGTCAGTCAATCCACAGTCAAATCTCATGCTCACACACCAAAGTGAGGTCTTGTCCAAGGGGGAGTTTGATACATGTGAGATGGGTGGATGGACGGATGGATGGGTGGACGGATGGATGGACGGGTGGACGGGTGGGTGGACGGGCGGATGGACGGGTGGGTAGGTGAACGGGCGGATGGACGGGTGGGTGGATGGTGGACGGACGGATGGGTGGGTGGACAGGTAGGTGGGTGGACGGACGGGTGGACGGGTGGACGGGTGGGCGGGTGGGTGGATGGGTGGATGGTGGGCGGATGGATGGGGGGGGTGGATGGATGGGTGGGTGGATGGGTGGATGGATGGGTGGATGGGTGGATGGATGGGTGGATGGGTGGATGGGTGGATGGATGGGTGGATGGGTGGATGGATGGGTGGGTGGATGGATGGGTGGGTGGGTGGGTGGGTGGATGGATGGGGGGGTGGATGGGTGGATGGGTGGACGGGTGGATGGGTGGATGGTGGGGTGGATGGGTGGATGGGTGGATGGGTGGATGGTGGGCGGATGGATGGATGGGTGGGTGGGTGGGTGGGTGGATGGGTGGATGGATGGGGGGGTGGACGGGTGGATGGGTGGACGGGTGGATGGGTGGACGGGTGGATGGGTGGACGGATGGGGGGGTGGACGGGTGGATGGGTGGACGGGTGGATGGGTGGGTGGGTGGGTGGATGGGTGGATGGTGGGCGGATGGATGGGGGGGTGGATGGGGGGGTGGATGGGTGGATGGATGGATGGGTGGATGGGTGGATGGATGGGTGGGTGGATGGGTGGATGGTGGGCGGATGGATGGGGGAGTGGATGGATGGGTGGGTGGATGGGGGGGTGGATGGGTAGGTGGATGCATCTCTACTTCCAGTGCATGAGAATCTTGTCACATTCACTGCCACTCATAATCTTCTGTGAAATGCCTATTCAATGTCTTGCCCATTTTTCCATTTAGTGGTACTGGGATTAGAACTTAGGTCTTTGTGCTTGCTAGGCAGGTGCTCTACTACCTGAGGCACGCCTCCAGCTTGCCCGTGTAATGACCAGACAATACCTCAAGTGTATGTAATGCGTAAGAATGGCTGTTTGCTCATCCTTATTGATTTTTGAGATTCTTTATAAATTATGGTAAGATTTAGCTTCATAGTCTTTTTTTTCTTTGTGGTACTGGGGTTTGAACTAAGGGCCTCCACCTTGAGCTGCTCCACTAGCCCTTTCTGTCATGAGTTTTTTTGAGATAGGGTCTCAAAGGAGGGAAGGAGGAAGGGAAGAGGGAGGAAGAAGGAGGGAGGAGGGATGGAGAGGAGCTTGTGGCGTGATCTCCAGATCACTCTCTAAATGCTCAGAGTGGGCCAGACCCAGTGCAGCATCCGAGCCAGAAGGAGCAATGGACACATAGGACAGGGACACTGACCACAGAGCCCCGGGGAAGGTGACAGGACCCCGGGGAGGGTGACAGAGCCCTGGGGAAGGTGACAGGACCCCGGGGAGGGTGACAGAGCCCCGGGGAAGGTGACAGGGCCCTGGGGAGGGTGACAGGACCCCGGGGAGGGTGACAGGGCTCCGGGGAAGGTGACAGGGCCCCAGGGAGGGTGACAGGGCCCTGGGGAGGGTGACAGAGCCCCGGGGAGGGTGACAGGGCCCTGTGGCAGGCAGGAGACCACAGGCTGGCTCAGCCCCACCTTGCACGTCCAGGACACTGGGCTTTGCCTTCTCCTTCTGCTGCTTCTCAATTTTCGACTTGAGGAGCTCGATCTCCCTGTGCAGGTCGGAGATGACGTCTGTGTACTGAGCAGTGCGGTACAATACAGTCAGCAGGTTGTGCTTGACCTGAGGGTGAGGACACATGGCCAAGCTCAGCCCTGTGGACACTGCTTTTGCAGGGACACAAGCGATGGGAGACTCACTCCAATTCCTTCACGTACTGCGGTGCTGGGGCTTGAACTCAGGGCCTTCACCTTGAGCCACTCCACCAGCCCTCGCCAACTATTTGCCAGGAGCCGGTCTCAAACCACGATCCTCCTGATCTCTGCCTCCTGAGTAGCTGGGATTACAGGCGTGAGCACCACACGGTGTACAGCCACATTTCCTTCATTGCTGTCTACCAGGGGGCTGTCCACCTGTCTGCACGAATGGCCCCTCTCATCCTCGGTCTTGGTTCGCCCACCGGTCCATCAAGGTGCACACAGCCTGACGTGGCACTCCAAGGGGCTTGGGGAAGTGAGGTTTCTGAGTCACAGGGCGGCAGGTCCTTTGAGCTGTGCTCAGTGGCCTCTATGTGCACGTCACACGCTTATCACTGGGGCCCTTCTATGTCCCCTCCTCAGCAGACCTTGCCTGACCACCCTCTTCACAGAGGACCCTCCGAATTTGGTCTCTGGTGTCATTCTTTCTGACAGCAGCCTGTGGCCATGGAGCAGGGTGCTAACCAGTGAGTCCAGGCCCACCACCTGCTGTCCCTATCCCATGGCTAAGCCCAGAGCTGCACAAGACCAGAAGTTTACCTGTTTTTATTGTTATTATTATTTATGTTATATTTTCTTTTTGGCTGTACTGCAGCACTGGGATTTGAACTCAGGGCTTTGTGCTTGCCAGGCAGGCGCTCTACCCCTTGAGCCACTCCCCAGCCCTTTACTGTGACGGGAATTTTTGACATAGGGTCTCATGAACTATTTGCCTGGCTGGCCTCAAACCACAGTCCTCCTGATCTCTGCCTCCTGAGTGGCTGGCACTACAGGCGTGAGCACCAGGCCCGGCTCTTCCACTGTTTTGAATGCCCAGCCTCGGGAAGCTGTTCTGCTGCTACTTTATCCCTGCTCCAGGGACAATGATGGTGCACAGAGGCCACCAGCCAGGAACAGCAGTGCAGGGCATACCCAGCCATCCAGCTGCAGGCTAGGAATCAGCCAGGGAGTGAGGAGCGAGTTAGTGAGCACGGGGGCGAGCGAGGGAGGGAGGGAGGGAGAGAGGGAGGAGTGAGGACCGAGGCTCACCCGGGTCTTGATGTTTTTGGCTCTGCAGGCGTACAGCAGCGTGGTCCTCGACTCCTCAAAGCTGGTGCTGGCGGGGCTGATGTGAGCGATCATCACGGTGCGACTGTTCCCTCCCAAGGCATCCTGCTCGGGCGGAGGCCCCAGGGCTGAGGTGACGGAGCCACGTGGTCCCAAACGCCCAGGGTGCGGCCGTCCCCAGCACCAGCACACCAGGCCTGCTGGGCCAGAGCCTGAGGGGGCGCCTGATGCCGGGGACAGGCCTGTGCCTGGGAGACGACCCTCAGGATGATGTAGACCACCCTGCCTGACGGCCACTTTGATGAGAGCAGGTGGCACACACAGGGACATGTGTTGACTGCCTGGCCCATGTGTGCATTTGTCCCCATCTTGTATTCAGCTCAGGGTAAAAAGGATCTTTTTCACTGAGTGTGGTGCTCATGTCTGTAATCCCAGCTACTCAAGAGGCAGAGATCAGAAGGATCACGGTAAGAGGCCAGACGGGGCAAAAATTCACAAGACCCCATCTCAACCAATGGCCAGACACAGTGGTACACACCTGTCACCCCAGCTCTTGGGGAAACACACCAGGACTGCAGTCCAGGCTGGTGTGGACATAAAGTGAGACCCCATCTCAAAAATAATGATAGCAAAAAGGGCTGGCGGAGTGAGCACCTGCCTAGCAAGTGAGGGGCCCTGCGCTCGCTTCCGCAGCACATAAGCTAAAAAGCGAGAGGCCCTAAGACCAAACTGCAGTACTGCCAAAGAAAAGGAAAAAGGGAGTTTTTCACATGGGGCTGCCAGCCTGGGGAAGGTGGCGAGCTCCCCGTCACCATGGTGTGCAAGCCAAGCCCGTGCTCAGAGGGCCAAGGGACACGGGCCGACATGGCTCTGCCCCCGGTGGCCCTGGCAAGGCCGCCGGTTCTCAGGCCTGGGCCTCTCCCAGCAGGTGACCTCCCCGCAGCCACAGCACCCACCTTGAGCAGCCGTGTGAGCTTGCTGTCCCGGAAGTTCACGGAGGCGCGGCCTCCCTCGCCTCTCTCGCTCGGTGCGTTGATGCAGCTGCCCAGGGTCAGCAGCGAGCGGTTGATGTGGGCGCCCTCCTTCACCCTCCTGCCGTGGCCCTGCATCTGTGCAGACGGGACGGGACAGGCCGGCTGAGTTGAGTCCTGTGTCCCCATTCCCAGGGAAGGGCCGAGGCCCGGAGGAGCCTGGGAGGGGCTGCACCCCAGGAGTGGAAACGAGACACCCCGATGCAGCCCGATGCTCACTGTGAACCGAGGTAAAGGAGCATTGAAGGGAAGACCGTGCGGAACAAGCAGGTTTTATAAGAAAAAGGAGTGACTGAGCAAAGGAAGCCGGGCTCAGCAGGACAAATGCCGCACCTTTCCTCGTCTACGCAAAATCTAATCTAAAAAGGATTTGAACAGCCGGGCACGGAGCTCACGCCTATAATCCCAGCTACATGGGAGGCTGAGATTGGGAGGATCGAGGTTCGAGGCCGGCCTGGGCAAATCATTCTCAAGACCCCGTCTCCGAAATAAACAGGGCAAAACAGGCTGGAGGAGTGAGCAGGCGCTCTACCACTCGATATTAACTTGATATTAAGGGCATTAAATGAAAGGAGATATTTGGGGGTGGGGTGGAGAACAAGTGGGGGGTGGGGGGGAAGATAATAAAACTCCTCACCTTGTACAATTAGTATATGCTGATAATTAGGCAGGGCACAGTGGCTCATGCCTATAATCCTAGCCACTCAGTAGGCAGAGGTAGGGGGACTGCAGTCTGAGGCCAGCCTGGGCAAACGTGAGACCCTATCTGAAAACCAAAATGACCGGGGTATGGCTCAAATGGTAGAGTGCCTGCCTAGCAAACCCAAGGCAAGTTCAAACCCCAGCACCTAAAATAAATAAGTAAAAGAAAAACTAAAGTAGTTTGGTGGGGCCCGGCTCAGTTCAGCAATCTGGGTCCCAAGGGTGGGGCCAGTCACAGAGCAGGGATGGAACAGAGGGAGGACACTGGACAGAGACAGCCAGACCCCAAAGACTCAGAGCAGGCAGTGCAAACCAGAGCAGAAAACCCAGGCAGGAAGCGCACAGTTTGGGCAGACTTGCCGGGTTGCAAGTCCGGGCACACGGCCATGTCTGTGCACAGCCGGCCCCGGTGCCTGGACGCTGCTCTGCAGAGCAGGGAGAAGCTGTTGGCCTGGACTCACAGCGTACAAGGAGCACCACAGGCACCATGCCTGACGAGGGCCTGGTGTGGAGGCCTCGTTTGTTGAGTGCTCTATAGTCCTGACGCCACCTCTGTCAACTACTCTCTGGTCCTGTACTGGGTGGGGTCCCTGCTCTCCAGGATTGCTCAGGTCACTGTCTGGTCATCTAATGCCCATAACCAGACAGGAGAGGCAAGGGACCATGAGCTGGGGCTGGGGCAGTGGCACCAGGCCTGGTCTCAGCAGAGTCGCATGTAGGACCTGAAGCCTCTGCAGCCAGTCCTTGTGCACTGACCTGACTGTGGCCTCTCCTGAAAGGTCTTCCTTTTTTTGTTGTTGAGGTACTGGGGTTTGAACTCAGGGCTTCCACCTGGAGCCACTCCACCAGCCCTGTTTTGTGATGGGAATTTTTGAGATGGGGTCTCAGGAACTATCTGCCTGGGCTGGCTTTGAACCGCGATCTCCTGATCTCTGCCTCCTGAGTAGCTGGGATTACAGGCGGGAGCCACCTCGCCCAGCTCTGAAAGATCTTCCTTGAGCCCACTCAGTCCTCGGGGTGCTCTGAGGCTCAGGCCTGAGACCCCACTGCCACTTGTCTGGCCCTCAGCGCCGGTCTCTCAGCATAGCCATCTGTGCACACGTGTCCCCTGACACTCAGAGCTGCCAAGGGCCAGCATGTGCGTGACTTAGCCTTGCCTGTCCAGGCCCAGGGTGAGCGGCCCACTGACACCGACTTGATGGCTTCTGCACTCAACAAACACTTAGCCAGCTCCTCATTCTGGGCCTGGTGCTGTTCCATTTGTCAAGCCACAGCTGGGCAGGACAGACAAGGTCCCAGTCAGACTGACGGTGACTGACAGACACCCAGTGAGTGACACAGTGACATCTGAAAAGGTGAGGCAGGTCAGAGCATCGCACACACCTGGGCTGCATGCTCGGAGCCTGCCAGGTCCACCATGAAGAGCCTCCCCAACTGCACTTCCTCCACCGGGTCCCCAGCGCGGTCTGCTGGTGCACGGTGACCTGCAGGACTGCGTGGGAGCGGGACGACGTCTTGTTGGCGGCCGTGGGCTCCTGCGTGCGCTGCCGGTTGCCTTTGGTGAGGAGCTGCATGATCTAGGAGGGACAGAAGCAGGCGGGAGGTCACAGGCCACATGGCCACACACGTGTGCTCTGGGGACGCCCAGGAGAGAGGAGGAGGATGGCCCAGGACTGCGGCCTTAGTGCATGGAGTCAGGGCACTGCATAGGAATTGCAGACACGCACAGCGCCTGCCTGGTCTCTGCCCATGGTAGACGTCACCAGTGAATCTCCACCTCACCTCTGTGGAGCCCAGACCCTTTCCAGGCAGCTGTAGGTTTTTGGGAGCTGGCGGGGGGGGGCGGTGAACCCCATCTCCTGTGCAAGCCTCTGTGGAAGCCCCCTCTCCAGTGAGCCTCTGTTGAGCACCTACTGTGTACAGATGCACGTGAGGCTGCAGAGTGCATATGGAGGGAGACTGGGACAGTCACTATTATTCAAGATCAGACAAGACCACTCCCGGAGGTGTGGTGGTGCACACCTGTAATCCCAGCTACTCAGAGGTGGAGGTAGGAGGATCACAGTCTAATAGTGTAAGGCAAAAGTGGGAGACCCAGTCGGGAAAAATACCTAAGGCACAAAGGACTGGGGTGTGGCTCAAGTGCTAGAGAACTTGGTAGGTTCTGAAGTTCAAACACCAGTACCACCAAGAGTGGAGGCCAAGAAGATGGAGAGGAGGCAGAGGAAGAGGAGAAGGAGGAAGGATGAGGAGATAGAGGAAGAGGAAAAAGAAGGAGGAGGAGATGGAGGAGGAGGAGGTGGAAGAGGAGGAGGAGGAGGAGAAGGAGGTGGAACAGGAGGAGATGGAGGAGAAAGAGGAGATAGAGGAGGAGGGGATGGAGGAGATGGAGGAGGAGGAGATGGAGGAGGAGGAGATGGAGGAGGGGGAGGAGGAGGAGGATGGAGGAGGAGGAGATGGAGGAGGAGGAGATGGAGGAGGAGGAGGAGGAGATGGAGGAGAGAGAGGAGGAGAGGAGGAGATAAAGGAGGAGGAGGAGAGGAGATGGAGGAGGAGGAGATGGAGGAGATGAGAGGAGGAGATGGAGGAGAGGATGGAGGAGGAGGAGGAGATGGAGGAGGAGGAGGAGGGAGATGGAGGAGGAGGAGATGGAGATGGAGGAGATGGAGATGGAGGAGATAAAGGAGGAGAGGATGGAGGAGGAGGAGGGGAGATGGAGGGAGAGGGGGAGGGGGAGGAGGGGATGGAAGAGGAGATGGAGCTGGGCAGCATGGCCACCCGTGGTCACTCAGGCAGGGTTGGTGGCTGAGGAGTCTGCGCTGATCTGGAGGCCTGAAAGCTTCAGAAGCTGCAGAAGGAGCAGGTGGAGCTGGCGAGATGACCGGGCTGTGGAAATGGCTGCAGGCCCCTCTGGTAAGGGACCACTGTCAGGACCAGCTTGGCCAGTGGGTGTAGACCTGAGCCAGCCCGGGGCAGGCAGGCCGTGACCACCAGGAGCGCTGTGTGGAGAAGGACCCGTGCCTGGAGGCCAAGGGAGAGTGGGATGGATGGTGACGTGTGTCCTGAGCAGATAGCGGGTGCAAGCATTTGCCGTAGGTCAAGGCCAGGTGCTTGGAGGCAGCTAGGGGCTGCGTGTGGGTCTCTGGTCAGTGAGCTCGAATGAGGACTTTGTGCGCTGTGGCACACGTGTGGCTGCCGTGACCCTCACCTCTTGGGCATTTGAGGTGGAGACTTCTGTGATGCCTGCAATCTGGATGATGCCCCTTGCACCTTCCCTCAGTTCCAGACGCCCCGAGGACGGGTTCAGCAGGTCTCGGATCACCTCGTTATAAATCTGGGGTTGAACAGAAAGGTTGGAGTGAAGCAGCTGTGATGCAAAGACCTACAAGGTGACAAGACCTGTCTTGTCACCAAGAGGGCAGGTCTTGCTCAGGCGGCAGGCATTTGGGGTGACACCCAGCGTTGAGGCTGGTTTTTGCAGATGAAGTAATGGAGGCAGCAGGCAGGCTCACCTCCAGGTAAGACAAGGACACACTGTAGTCCGTGTTGTCTTGGGCCTCCTGGATGGCCTGGAAGAGGTCGGTGAGGGTCTGCAGGTAGATACCGGGCTCCGAGTCCACACCCAGCATCGTATGGGTCTTCCCTGCACTGTGGAAGGGTTGGGGCTCCTGAGGAAAGCTCAGCTGTGCTGTACAAGAATTGAGCAGGGCATGGTGGCTCATACCTATAATCCCAGCTACTCTGGAGGCAGAGATCAGGAGGATCATGGTTCAAGGCTTGGGCAAAAAATTCATAAGACCTCATCTCAGCCCATGGCTGGGTGTGGTGGTGCACGCCTGTTGCCCCAGCTATGTGGGATGTGTGATCAGGAGGGTCATGGTCCAGGCACAAACGCTGAGACTCTATTAGAAAAATAACTAAACAAGAAAGGACTGGGGCATGGCTCAAGGGGTAGAGCTCCTGCCTAGCAAACACAAGGCCCCGAGTTCAATCCCAAGTACCACCAAAAAAAAGTCTGCTGAAACCAGGTATGGTGGTTCCTACTGTAATCCCAGCACTTGGGGGGCTGAGGATTTTGAATTCCCAGCCAGCCTGGAGTAAACAGAGAGACCCTGTCTCAAACAGTAAGAGAGCTGTGCTGCCAGCAACTCCGGCCCCTGCATGGTACCTGAGGGCCCGTAGGCAAACACCGTTGTGTTGTATCCGAGAGAGACGCCCTCCACGAGATGCTGCGGACAGACAGAAGGACAGTCAATCGATGGCCCAACCTGAGTCAGGGGACCTGGCTGTTGGGAGGGGACAGGGGAGTGGTGTGTGCAAACATCAGGAGGGAGGCTGACAGGAGGGAGGCTGGGAAGGCCTGGGTGCTGGGAATCCCTGGATTCCAACCCCACTCCCATCGCTGGGTAACTTTGCACATGGTGCCGACCACACAGCGTGGCTTCAGGGAGAGTTAATGGAGAAGTGTGCAAGAGCTGCCACCATGAGGCCTGAGATAGCTACGGACCAAGCCTACATGAGGCTTTCCCAGAGCCTCTGCAAGAGTTGAGTCAGACCCAGCGCTGGTGCTCACGCCTGTAATCCCAGCTATTCAGGAGGCAAAGATTGGGAGGATCAAGATTTGAAGTCACCCTGGGCAAATGGCTCATGAGACCCTATCTTAAAAAAAACCCATATCACACCTAAAAAAAAGGCTGGTGGAGTGGCTCAAGGTGTAGACCTTGAGTCTAAACTCCAGTACCCCAGGGCTGTGCGTGGTGGTGAGCATCTGCCATCCCGGGTGCTTGGTAGCAAAGGTAGGAAGATTGCCCCCACCTGGTAGCCCCTGCCCATGGACCCTGGGAGGGTTTCCTGCTCACAGCCTTTTGCTCCTCGGGGAGATCCTGGGAGTGATGGGGATGGGTGGCCCGGCCACAGGCCATCCCAGGGGTGCTCCCACCCAATGGAGCCAGGGTGGGGGTGGGTGGCGGGGACCTGGGATGCATGTTGGTCGAAGACAGTGTCAAAGATGAAAGTTTGCTCCCGGGATTGGTGCACACACAGAGTGTCCTCAGGGTCCTTGCGGGGGTCCATGAGCACCACCACCTGGGGGCGATGAAGGGGAAGGGCCCAAGGAGGGCTGCTCAGATCCAGGGAGGACCCCAGGCCTGCCACCACCCTTAGGGCAAGAGCTGTGGGCCTGTGCTCATGCCAGGAGGGCGTGACACCCCACCTGGCACCCTCACTGTTGGCTTTCTGAGAAGGCAAGGCAGGACCATAAGCTCCCCCAGTCCTTCTGGGCTCTGCAGCCACGTCACACCTATGCCCCAAAAACGTCCCCTAACCCGAGGGCAGCCTGACCACACTCGAACAACCCTGCTCAGTACAACAGACTAGCAGTGTCAGCAACCCACCCTAGTCCCAGGCCCCACAGGGACAAAACCCATCTATGAACTAGCAGAACAGGGGAGGACAAAGGGTTTTGTAAACTGTAGAGTGCCGGGCAGGCCGTCCCACTGTCACACTCAGGCAAGTGACCCCAAGGGTGCCTGGGATCCCTCTGCCTGGTGTGCCTCTGGCTCGGGGCCAAGGGTCCCACAGGACAGGGGAGGACATGCTGGTTCTCTGAGACAATGGTCGCCCCCTGGGGACCATCTCAACCTCATATAAATACACTATTGCAGAGCAGAGTGTATTGGGCTCTTGGCACAGGGGTTCAGGGGAGCCATTCCAGGGAACCGGGGTCGGGAGAGATAGGGGCAGGGAGGGACAAAACGCACCATGGCTGGTGGACTGGGGGGCCGGGGCACCTCAAACCCGTGGAGTTTGGGGCTACAGCCAGGTGGTTCCAACAGCCCTGCCAGCTGGCCACTGCCCAACTCCTCCTAGGTTCACAGGTTTGACACCTGTGGTCCCAGGAGGACCAGAGGTTCCTGGGAATCGGGGGCAGGGCTGGACCCAGGCCCTCAGGGCTGCTCCTGGCTTCGGGCCAGGACTGATTCCATGACACAAGCTAACTGTGCTCTGCTTTCCTTCCCTTTCTGAGGATGGGACACAGGGCGGCCTCCCCAGCCCCATGTGTACCCACTGTGGGCCACACCCGAGAGGTAGGAGGACGCTGATGGGTCACCAGACAAGGGTTCCAGTCAGCAGGGCTATGGAGGAGCAGTGAGGCTGGTGGTCACCAAAGTGAGGTCCTATCCAGGTGCCACCCCTCACCAGCTGGGTGGCCTTGGGCAGGTCGCCTCAACTCCTCAGGCCTCACTCAGTTCCCTTATCTGAAAAGCGACAGTGACCGCAGAACCCGCCCGCTAAAGGGCTGTGCAGAGCAAATGAGTCTGCGCGCACAGCACAGGGTCCTTGGTATTCAAAAATGATCGCAGCATTGGGTCTTAGACCAAAAAACATTTCTGCGGCTGGCAGAGAGGCTCAAGAGTTAACAACACCACCTAGCAAGCGTGAGGCCCAGAGTTCAAGCCCCAGTGCCACCAAAAATTTTTAAAAAAGATAAAAATGTCACGACATGATGAACCCTTGGTTTCTGGCCAAAAGGCCTCGTGCCGTGTGGTGTCATTTATACCAAACACCCAGATCTACAGACAGGAAGCAGAGGCGGCTGCCCGGGGCTGGGGGTGGGGAGCAGTGGCTAATGGGTGTGGGGCCTCCTTTTGGGGTGAAGAAAAGGTTTCTGCCACTAGACAGGAGCTGGCCGCACGATGCCAGAGTGGACTAACCCTGCAGATGGTTCACTTTGAAATGGTGCATTCTCTGTGGGGAGAACAGCACCTTCATTTTTTAGAGTGAGCCCACAGCTGGCGTGAGGGACACATAGGCCCTGCCCACCCCTCTCTGCCAACGCTGGGTTTTACCGCCACGTTTGAACACAGGTGCGTGGTGAGCAGGGACTTGGTGCCATTGTCAGCAGGGTTGCAGTGTGGATTTGGGCAGTCACTCGGTGTCCCCCAGCAAGCCAGGTCTTCCTGTGGGCTCTTTGCCCCCTCCCCAACTTAACAGCTGTGATGTTCCATTTGCTTAGTTGTCCCTGACCACAGTGCTAACTCTCCTGGCCTCTGCCAGCTGTCCCAGGCCCCCTGGGAGTGCTCTGACCTGCTGGTGGGGACCGGGTGACTACCCGTGGGTAGCACCAGCAAGGAGCTCCTCCACCCACATTGCATCCTGGGTCGTCTGCCCTTAAGCATGGACATCTTCCCCACATCCCACATCACCCGACTAAAGACACCTTCCTGATGACAATGCTTACCCCAAATTAGGCACTTATGCCTGCAAGTGACCAAGGCAGCAGCTTTCCCTGGAGTGGCAGCGAGCTGGCACCCCACCCCGCCCTGTCCTCCAGGCAGCACTACCCCCTGGGCTCTCAGGTTGCTGACAAGGTGGCCCCAGGCCTTCCTGCCCGTGTCCCACTCATTCACAGGGCACCCAGCTGCTCCCCTGCCAGGCCAAGGCCACCTGCCCTGGGGATCAGAGGGCATTGCCGGCCTCCCGGCCCCTCTCCTCAGAGGTCTCTCTGACCAGAGCAGCTCTGAGGCTCTTGCGCGATCCACACAGCACACTCACTGTCAATCAGGGGCAGGGTGGGCACCATCAGTCCCTGTTCAGCCCCCTGCAGCAGAGTTTGGTCACTGTGTTTATTGATTATGAAGTGCACACAGTGGGGTGAGGCCATCTCTGTGCTCCCCAGCCTCACCTGGTCCCCGACTTTGTGAGCGATGACAGTGGCCCCTTCCTCCTGTTCTGCACTGTTAAGTGGGCGGATCCGAAGTGCAACCTGTGGGCAGGCCATGAGTGGCTGGTCCACCAGGGTCCCAACTAGACCACTCCCTCTTTTCCGTGCAACACCAAAACCCTCAACCCAAACTGTCCTGGTCCTACAGTGGCTTTTGCATTCTTAGTAAAACAGTGAGGGTCCAACACGGGCTCTGTCTTAGCTTCTTAACCCTTGTGTGGAGTTCATGACTCACAGCTCAGTTGCTTCACCCTCATTGAATAGAGAGGTAAAGCAACTTGCCCAAGGTCACACAGGCTTCTCACCCAATTAAACCATCACAAGGGACATACACCTAGCCTGGCTCTTCAGCGCACCGGTAAGCACTTTTGGAAACCATTGCCTGGAGGAAGCCTTTGGGCCTGGGTAGGCCCGGTAGGGGATGAGCAGGGCGATACTTGCCACCAGCTGGGGTCCTGGCCTAGGTCCTGAGCTCTCTGGGAAGGGGTTTCAGAGGGCAGTGCCTGGGGACTCTGGGTGAGGAAGTATGGGCATCACTAGAGAGGGTAAATGGGGGAGCAGGTGGGGACTCTGGTCACAGGGCTGGGCTGATGAGCTCTGACCACAGGGTGCTGGGTTTGGAGTGTCACGGGAGCTGGAGCTGGCAGGGGACGAGCAGGAGGGCACTCACCACGAGCTGCTGGTCCTTTGGCTCCATCTCCCTCAAGGTCGGGCTGCCCCAAGCAGGGGAGAGGCCAGGGGCCTGGTGAGTGGGCACGCTGCTGGCCAGGTCGGCCAGGGGCTTCCTGTGAGAGTGGCGGAGGCAGAGCTGGAGGCAAGGAGACTTGTGTCTTAGCTCAGCCCCTCCTGGTGACGTCAGCAGGGTCCCTGGGGGTGCAGCCAGGCAGCAAGGAGCTCCTTTACGAATCCTAGCCTTCCCTGAGGGGCAGGACAGCCCATGTGGTCTGAGCAGAGCCCCAAGCAACAGGGCAGACCTCCTGAGTGCCAATGTGACAATGGCACATGAGACAGCGCCAGGCACCGGTGCGGTCTGCGCTCACCTCGTGCTATAGCAACTCCATCTACCACAGGGTGGAACCCCCTCCCCTCCTCCAGCAGGGGGCCACCTGGGCACAGCATACCAAACCACCTTTGGGGTGTCAGCACCTTCAGCCGAATGCCTTCTCCAGATGACCTGGAGTTCCCAACCGCTTTCCATGCCAGCCTGTGCACCCAGGACCCAGTAAAGGCCCAGCCTGGCAAATGCTGATCTTAACCTTCCCACTGCAATACCCAGGAAGGCAACTGTACGGTGAACTCACCTGGCCAAGGCAGAATGCACCTGCCAGGTGGTACGGGACCTCACAGACTGGCTCTGCCGAGATCCTACATCCTTACTGAAAACAGGTCAGGTCCCTGGAGCCCAAGTCTGAGCCCACGCCTCACTCAAGGTCAGCTGGAATGCTTAGCTCTCTGCCAAAACACTGGGAAACTCACCCTAAGCCCCCAGCATGCACCTGTTCAAATCCTCTTCCTTGGTGTCCAATGCTGAGCATCAGAGAACTCTTGCCTGACCCTCTAAATTCACGCCTCCATGCCTCTTCCACAAAGAACAAGGCTCCAGCCCCTCTCCCAGGGACTTGCTCTGGCCTCCTGAACACATGACATGGACAAGGCCTCACCAAGGCCTGAGACCCCAGGCCTGGGGACAGCCCGCCATCCTCTAACTACCCAGCCAGGTCCAGGACGGGCTAGGAATTCCCCTGTACACCTGGACTGCAGGAGACAGCAAGTAAGGGTGTTCCAAACATGCTTTTATTTACAAACCATGGAAAGCAGTTATGGTGATGTTAATAACTACAGTTGCGAAGCTGTAAAAACCTGTCACTGTGCTAAAACTGCCTCCTCCTTGCCATGAAACTAGAAAACAGTGCCCAAGGTTAAAGGGTGTGAAACTGGGAGGGGAGGGTGAGCCAAGTGCCAAGGCCTCCAGGATCTCAGCGCTCAAGGCCTCGGAGAACCCCACCATGACTGTGGCCTGGGGTGAAGCCTCCCCCAGAGGACAAGGGCTCAGTGGACCCTGGGCTGGCCCTGCCCGTCTGCCGTGTCCTGTGTCCATGGACCCTGGGAAGCCTCTGCTTCCGCAGCTGTCCTCAGCTTGGGACCCCATGAGATCCAGAGAGAGGCTGAGACCCACCAGTCTCACAGGCTGACAGAAGATCCTGCAGGTGAACTGCACTGGGATGTGTTCGCTCCTTGTCAACGGGACTGTGCCCAGGCCACACCCATGGGCGAACACCACCACACAGATTTTCCAACTTGTGGAATTCCGAAGCTTAAAGAGTTCTCGCTGGTGGGATGAGAACCTTTTCATAGAAAATACGCATTTGGGACAACCTGGCCTAACTCATGGAGGAGCAATGGAGGACGCGGACCCGAGGAGCTCCCAGGCCAGGTGTGCATGTGAGCAACCCTCATGCTGAGGGGACAGGCACCAGGAGGGGGCGGGGGGCCACCATCTATGTGCAAAGAGGAGAAGGACAGCCAGTGTTTGTGGACAGGTTTGCTTTTATTTCCACGTGCACGCGGAGAACTGGCCACGCCTGATGGCCAGGCAGTCCCCAGAATGCACTGGGCACAAGCAGTGCTGACCCCTGCTGGTATCCAAGGACCAGGTACTGGCCCACTCAGGGGACAGCAGGCCCTAGAAATGCCTGGGCAGTAGGAGCGAAAAGTCTGCACAGTGGTGTGGAAAGGAAAGCAGTGCCTTGAAACTGCCGCGCTGTGGCCACCAGGCGTTAAAGGCACAAAACTCTGTCGGGATGGAAGAGTCCCAGGTGTGGCCAAGTCCACAGAGAGAGCATGGGGGCCACGGGCCCCTGGGGCTTCTGCGGAGGACGACTTGGGAGCCTGGCACAGCACGGTGACACTGCAACACAGGAAGCACTGGTCACTCTGCGTCTACTTCCCCGCGTCCAGCCACGCATCACGGGCCGCAGGGAGTTCTGCTGGCCGCCACCAAGCAGGCGCAGGACCATGACACTGTCTCCGAGCTGGAGCAGGAAGAGCTGCGGTGCCTCCGGCAGAGCAGCCAGCTGGGGACAGTTCAAGTGAGGACCCCGCTGTCCTCACCAGGGGTGACTAAGTACTAAGGCACCGAGAGCTCCACACGTCACGTGGCACAGAGCAGGCCATTCTAGCCCAGAGGCCCCCAGATTTTCTCATGCAGGCTAACAGGCAGCTCCCCACCCAAGAGAAGCACTCACCACAGCGCAGTCACTCCTGGTTCCCAAGGGGAATGATCTCCTCAGTGACAAAGAACTCGATGGTCTCCTCCTCCCAGTCGTCCACATTGCTGTCCAGTTCATCTGTGTCCACCCCTAAGAATGAAGAGTGGGCTGACCACGGGTCTCCATCCAGGCCACGGGCAAGGAGTCACCCATTTCTGGACAGCCTCAGAACCCACAGTCACCCCCTCCCAGAACCCCCACCTCCGCGCAGCTCCAGCCGCTCATTCTTCTGCTCCATGTACAGCTCTTGGGCCATCTTCCGGTACTTCCGGAAATCCTCCATCATGGTTCGCCTCCTCTCCACCAATTCCTGCGTGTGGGAAGTTACAACTCAGCTTCAACTGAGTCTGCTTAAGCTGACCACTGCCTGCTTTTTTTTAAATTTTTATTTTTTTATCATTCATATGTGCATACAATGCTTGGGTCATCACTGCCTGCTTCTGCAATGGAGGAGTCAGCCACAATACGCATGGTTGGGGCAACGGTGCCAGGCGGGGCATTGGTGCCAGGCAGGCATCGGTGCCAGGCTGGCGTCCCCCGTGCCCACCCTCCCATAACAGTCATCCTGTGCCAGGCGGGGAGGCGGCTCACCTTGGAAGCTTTGGACTGGCTGAGGCGGTCCTTCTGCTCAAAGATCTTGGAGTACTTCTTCAGATCCTTCTTGATTTGCTGAAACAAAGACAAGCCGCTCAGGAGCTCAGCTGCCAGCCTCAAGTGACAGCTGGGTTGAGCAAGGTGATCAGGGGACAAAGCCTGGGCCGCACCGCTTTCCCAGGCTCCACTCGGGTTCTGTGAATTCGGATTCTTTTCCAGCCCTTCCAGAAGCATGTACAGCCCAGCCCAACACCGTCCTTTTCCACTGAAGCCTCTCCCTGCGGCTCTGCACGTCACACTCCCCGTCACTTCACCCTTGTGCTCACAGGGCGAGCATGTTTCCTCAGGCCACGACTGCCCCGCACACCTGGACCAGGGTGGACACCAACCTTTGTCTGCTCCTGGCTGAGGAGCGTGGGGGGCCGCGGCCTCCAGAGCAGCTGGCAGAAGCGATCCTTGCTGTTCTTCTGCAGCAGGCGGCCCTGGAACGTCCACAGCCAGTAAGCATTGTCCACCTGTGTAGGACGGGGGTAGAGCCTGAGCTGGGGGCCCCTTTGGGAGCTACATGGTCAACAGCCAACACCACCAGGCACTGTGTCTGCCAGCCATCTTCTGGGCATCTGGGACACACCAGGGAGAAAACAAGGTCCCTGCATTTGCTGTGCCTGCCTTTCAACAGGGAAACACACAAGTAAACAGAAGGCATAGTGCGCCACACAGAGCACGTAAATAGTAGCCAAAAACGTCCCATCCAGCCCAGGGTCTGTTACCAGTCTGCACAAGACACTTGCGTCAGGACACAAACTCTCCGTCACCAGCCCAGGTCAGTTGGCTGACTGTCCATCACAGCAAGACGTGCACTGCATGGTCTCCTGTGCAGACCAGCCCTGGGGCCAAGTGTACTGCAACGGAGGCCAGCACTTTGGAAGGGTCTTAAGCAGCCACAGCAACACCTGGACTGATGTTGGGCACGGGCAACGCATTCTGATCTGGACATGAAGGCTACCACTCAAGATGCTGTTTCTGAACCAGCGTGGTGGCTTAAGCCTGTAATCCCAGCTACTCAGAAGGCAGCAATCAGGAGGATCACAGTTCAAAGCCAGCCCAGCCAAATAGTTCACAAGACCCCATCTCAGAAAAAAAAAAAAAAATCACAAAAAAAGGCTGGTGGAGTGGCTCAAGTGGCAGAGCATCTTCCGAGCAACTGTGAGAGGTCCTGAGTTCAAACCCTGCCCAAAACAAAACAAAACAAACCAGACACCATTCCTGCTGCTGTCATGCAGTCTCGAGTCACCACCCCGAGGCAGAACCGCTCGATTTGCAGGGAGAAGCTCAGCGCTAATAGTCCAGTCATGAAAACACTGCTATTAAGCCCTGCAGTTGCTTAGGACGCCGGGAGTCCTAGTTACTTGGGAGGCTAAGATCAGGAGGATCACAGTTTGAGGCCAGCTCAGGTGATAAGTTCACAGGATGCCATGTCAACCATTAAAAGCTAGGTGTAGTGGCTCATGCCTGTCATCCAGTGACAGGAGGAACTCTTAAAACAGGACGGTTCCAGTCCAGGCCAGCCTGTGCATAAATGTGAGGGCACATTCCAAAATAACCACCGCAGTAAGGACTGGGGTCTGGCTGGAGTGGTAGAGCGCCTGCCAGCGAGTGTGAGGCCGAGGCCAAACCCAGTATCAAAAGGGGGAAGAAAGTCACTGAATACTGAAAGAGGTCCTGAGACACAATGCCAGTGTGAGCCTGTGACAAGCAGGAGCCGCACAGGATGTGGCTTGTGCTCAGTCTCCAGTGGGAGACAAATGCAGACAACTCCTGTCCCCAGCAAGACCTGTCACTGACCGGGACAAAAGCCCTCCACGGAGGCTGCTCCTGCACACCTACACGCGCGCCACCTCTTCTGCAGTCTCACACCAGCCTCGGCTTCTTGTCCAGAGACAGGGACGACTTCAGAAGTCGCGGACAGGCACCCGCGGCCCCAGTGCGAGGCTGAGGACTGTCCCCGAGGGCCCTACCTTATGGCTCCACCATGACACGGAGGTGACCACATAGCGCCCAGTCGGGTCCCACTCGACATCGGAGGCCATGTAATGCTCAGCGATGTTCATGACCGTGCAGTCCGAGGTGTCCACAAATGCTAAGGCTCCGTTCATGCTGTGGACACAGCACGGAACTGGCCGTCACACACTCGCCAAGAGGCACGAGGGCAGGGAGCCACGGGCCACTGTTGGCCGTGGAGCCGCAGCACCATGCACGTCTGCCTCACCCACCCCAGGCTCCCGGGGAAATGACCAGTGACCACGTGAGACGTGGGATTGGACACGCACTCTGTGTCACACTGCCACGGCTTCTAGACACCACTACCTGAGTCTCCACAACCCATGACCTGAGCAACGTCGGCAAACGGATACCGCCTGAGCTCAGGGTGGATGCTGGGTCCCCTCACTGTGCTCAGTCAGGAGACATGGTGTCATGTGGACCAGGTCCAGAAGCGTCACAGCTGTCTAGGGGAGGGTCTGTGCTGAAGACCTGGGACCTCCATGGGGGGATGGACTGCAAGACAGTCCTTGTTTAGCCACAGAGGACACATGCACTGCCGCCTGTGAAGCACCTGTGGGTGATGCGGTTTGGATGCCCATGGAGCGGGAAACACCCCCCCAACACGAGAGCCCAGAGGAAGCAGAGCCCCAGGACGCACCTCCTCAGCCCGGCCAGCACGACGAACTGGCCCTGGGGACTCCAGAAGATGGTGTTTGCCTGCTGCTTGTCGAACATCTCTGAAAGGAAAGTCAGTGGCCGTCAGGAGTCTGCACCACAGGTTCTAGAACCAAGGCCAGCGGTGCCCTGCGAGGTCTGGCAGAAACAACACACGGCAGAACTCCTCATACACCAACTACTGGCTGACTCTGGGAGCCATTCCAGAAAACCCGTCATTTAGGTACAGCTGTTTACAATTTCACAAGGCAAGTGAACAAGGAGCTCCCCTCACAGAAGCACTCATCGGCGCATGCCTTTTGTCAGGGACTCCGTGTGTCCACCTCATTAGACCGTCACAGCCATAGCACCAACAAAAGCAAGGGCCACCCCAGGGACTCCAGCCCCTCAGCTGTGCACAGGGTCACAAGCCTTATATTCTGGAGCACACCAAGGGGAGCTGGCACAGTGGCAGGAGAGCTAACAACTAAGGGCCAGTAGCAGGCAGCTAACAAGCTGCAGTCTTTCCTGATGGCCTGCAGGAGGCTCAGAAGTCATGGTGGGGGGGGCCGCTGACCGTGAGGACACAGAAGCACTACCTGAGCACATGCACCCCGGCGAACAGCCACAACAGTCCTCAGTAGGTGGTAGGGCACTAATGGTGACTCCATTGTTGTTAGCTGGCACTGGGGATTGACCCCAGGCCTCACGCCCCTACTGAGCCACAAGCCACCCTCCTCGTGTCTGTCTTGTAACAAGGCACATCATGTGCTCTGATGGCCTGTGATCGCCCGTGTCTTCTATGTACCAAAGGACTCCCAGCAACTGATCCCATCACAAAACCTGCTAAGCACTGGCCAAGTGAGACAGCGCTTCTCACAGAGTGATCATGGAAAAGCCAGGGTTCACGAGCCCTTGCAGGGCTGCCACGAGAAGCTACTGACTCGGCGGAAAGGCCCAGGAATGTATGGAGCACAGCCTGAAAGGGTCCACCACCCCCGGGAGTGAAGGACACCGTGCAGCAGCAACGCTCATTAGCTCCACGTGTCTGCAAAGCCTCTGCTGTGTGACCCACAAAGCAGTAAGGACGCCAGGGGTGCATCAAGCAGGCAGCTGCACACAAGGGAGCAAGAGCAAGACCCACCCAGGTGCGGCAGGGTCAGGGTCAGGTGGCAGTCCAGATAAAGTGACCCCATGCCCAAAGCGCAGCTACCGTTACAGAGGACTGTGCCCCTCGAATGACAGCCAGATGGAAGTCTTAGACACACAAGAGCCACCTGAGTGGACGCAAAGCGCCCCTCCTGTGCGTCATCCCGACCTCCCTAAACCACAGTGGAAGTCTTTATGTCCAAGCTCGGGCCCACGCAGAGTGCCCCTTGGCTGGCGGGCCCTCCCTCCGCCCCTGCTGAACGAGACGATGTGCTTACTGACGAGCTCGATCTTGCCGTTGTCCTTCACGTGGTAGAATGACACAGAGATCCGTGGGGCCTCGCCGTGCAGCACTGCAAACTTGCTGCCGTTGGGCTCCCAGGCAAAGGCTATGATGGTTTCTGCAATCGACAAGAAAGTTGTCCCACCTCGTCACCTACGAGGCTCACCACTCGACCACAGAGCAGACCCAAATCCTTAAGTTTGGTAAAGGAACCAGGACCAGACGACAGCAGAAAAGTCACACCCGTCACCGAGGTTCAAAAGCAGCTGATTCAATCTGTACTGATGGCTGCACGAACCCCACTTCTCGCTCCTGCCTTCCTGAGCCACAGTTTCTGGCCTGGCTCACGGCAGTCCGTGACCTCTTTTTTGGGAGGTGGGTAGAGGAGGGTCGAGACACATCTGGCTGTAAGGCCCAGACCAGCCAGGAGCCTGTTCTCCACCCTCTGCCCTCAGAGCTGGGCTCCCCCCACCGCCCTGCCCTGACATGGAGGCTGGTTTACATTTCTCACATCTGTGCTTTTTGTTTCTGCATGACAAAACAAAAAGCAAAATGTCAAACAGAAGACAGGCTAATTTCCCAGCCAAAGGCAGAAACACAGCAGGAAGCGATGCTTGTCTTGAGCAAGGGAAGTCAGCTTTCTCAAGGACGTGCTTTTCCTATTAAAAAGAAAAGTCTGCCAGCCTCAGTGGCTCACAACTGTAATCCTGGACACTAGGAAGGCGGATATTGGGAGGACTGCGACTCCAGGTCAGAACGGGCAAAAAGTGAGACCCCACCTCAATAGAAAAAGATGGGTGTGGCAATACATGCCTGTCAACTCAGGTGAGTGTGTACAGGAGAATGGAACTATTCGAAAAAATAACTAGAGCAGCAAGGGCCACGGGGTGGGCTCAGTGGCAGAGCAGCTGCAGGAGCAAGGCCCTGAGCTCAAACCCAGTAATTCCAAAAAATAAAGCTGTCTTACATGGAGAACATGTCTTTACAGGTGACAAGACACTTGCTGGTGTTCTGGCTGAGGAATGGCGCTGCCTGTGCTCCTCCAGCAGTGAACACAGAGGTGGGAAGCCCGGGTCCCTGGGAACTGAAGAGCCACACAGCACAGCAGCTCACTGTGAGACCTAGAGGTGACTGCTGGGCAGTGAGCGCACAGGAGACTGCAGGAGCCAGGTGGCCACCACAACACTGACCTTTCATCTCAACCACGTCCACAGGCACCTGCTTCTCTCTCATTCGGAAGATTTCAAAATTTGTAACAACACCCTGTGTAAAAAACAAGTGTCAGCCAGACAGTCAGGAAACAGCAGTGATGCTCTCCAATGATGGGGAGGACGGACCCTAACCGCAGCTGGTCTGCAAGAGTTCTCAGTGCACCCTGCCCGCTACTGGGGACCAAGCCACGTGGACACCAGGGAACAACCTGCACCATGGCCTTCAGGACGCTCTCATGTCAGAAAGCAGGAGGTACACTGTTCACCAAAGCCAATAAATCAATGTCACCTACACTATGGAGTACTACTCAGCCATAAACAGGAAGGGAATGCTAACATGTACTACAAGCCAGGTGAACTATGAAGACAAGAAGTGAAGAAGCCTGACACAACGGGCCACAGCCTGTTGGAGCGACTCCACTGAAGAAGTGTCTGGAACAGGGACGTGCAGAGACAGAGTGGAGCCTAGCAGCTGTCAAGAGTAAGGAGGGGCTAAGAAGTGTGTGGGATGGAATGTGACTGCTCACAAGTACAGTTTGCTTCCATGATGATGAAATGTTCTGGAATTAGCCTTTTAGTATTTAAAAACCTGCTGTATATACTAAAATCCACTGAACTGCCTCACCACTTAAAAGGGTGAGTTTTTGGAAATATGAATTATATCCCAACAAATAATGAGGCCAGGCATGGCAGTCATGCCTGTAATCCCAGCACTCGGAGATGAAGGCAAGAGGGTTGCGAGTTTGAGGCCAGTCTGGACTACACAGGGAGACCCTGTCCCACAACGTAAAGGGAGAAGTCCTTCCTTAAAAAGAAATTCAGGCATTTTCCATGAAGCAAATCTTAAAATACTGCAGACAGAAGTGTGGACACAGGACATGTGCAGCACACTCCTCTTTGTTTAAAAAGGGTAATTTGTTCCTTTTAACCACCAGGAAGGAGGGGGCTGGTGTGCACAGGTGTTGGCATACCACCCCCCACGTCACTTCTGAATAGGTCGTAGCAGCCACCTGTCTCCAGTTCAAACCCCAATGAGGGAAGAGCTAGTGCTCAGGCAGGATGGCTGACCGCCTTCCCTGTTGGTGAGTCTGAAGTAGCCAACTCCAGCCTGTCCGGCAGAAACGCCCATGCCTCCTCCCCTCTTGGAGCTGGCCGCTCTTAGGAAGGACACCCTGCTCCAGGCCTCTCCTTGCCTGGGTGCCTTTTGGAGTCCTGTCCACTTTGACACACAGATAGTCCCCGTTTTTCTGCCAGTGCAGCTTGCAGTCCACAACGTTGAACAGGTTCCGCACACGGATCTCCTGCCTGCTGGGGAGCTGCATCAGGGTCACCCTGGCGGGGATGTCTTTGTCCTCAGGCACCCAGAAGGCAATTATGTTACCACCAGGGGACCAAGAAAAGTCTCTACAGGACAAAGGAAACAAAATGTCAGGCCAAGAGCAAGAGGTGGTATGGAAACAGGGCTCCTTCAGCAACACAGGTGTCACTACACGAGCCCACCACCCAGTGCTGGCCCGGGCACCCTGCCTGCTGTCCTCAGAACCCGGGCACTGCTGCCCTCGCTCTCACAGTAAGGACAGAGAGAGACATGCTGCACATCCTATGCATGGCTGCACGGCACACTGACCCTCTTGGCCACCATGTCCCCCTGCTGGAGGGGGAAAGGAAAGTAAGAGTGAGCTCCACGACGCCTAAAGGTCAGCTAAGTGTTAAAGGGGCCCAAGGAAGAGCCAGGGCAACCCCGTACCTAGAAACCACCCCACAGGACGGGAGCTCCATCAGGCAATGTGATAACGTCTTTGCCGTACTGTTTTGCTTTTTTGTTTGTTTTTTGAAACGGTTTTCCTATGTGGTCTAGACTGGTCTTGAACTCATGGGCTCCTGAACCCGAGCAGCTAGACTGCAGCGGGCAGCACCGTGCTGCTTGAGTTTGGGTTTGTTGGGAGTCAGTATCCTGGCTTCATCTGAATAAAACCCTCTGTACCCAAGAATGTAAAAACAAAAGGAGTGACGCGTCAATGTCAACATCCTCGGACTGCTGGTTGTTCACTGACCAGCTCCTAGAGCCTTCAGATAAACCCAGACGCGCCCACTCTAAAACAGTGAGGCCAAGGAACGGTCCCTGACACTGTGCAAACCCCACCTCACCAATCACCAGGGTGCAGGAAAACCTTCCACCCAAGGCTTTTCCTTGCAAGGTCAAAGTCCCCTCCAACCCTACAGCTCCAGGTCAAAGACTGGCATAGCCCAAGGCCCTGTGGCCTTACGGGTTTGACTCTGGAAACACGCCTGGAACGAGCGGCCTGCTCAGCAGTTAACACATGAGTAGTGCTTTCCCCTAACTGCCTACAAACCGTGCGCTATGGGGCCCTGTGAACAGGTGAGTCTTGCGAGGGCCCTAGAGAGTGACCTCTTGTGCCCTGAGGCTAGAGGGAAAACACTCCCCCTAGGCACAGGACCTGCGGCTCCTGGCTTGGACGCTAGTCTCCAGGACAGAGAGAAATGCACTGCCTTTGTGTGGAGCTAACCGTCTGTGGAGTTTGTGAGAGGCCAGAGGACAAGGGGACTCACAGGACAGACGGACACACAACTTACTTGATCCCAGAGATCTTCAAACTTTTCTTGTCCAAAAGACCCATAGACTGCCAGGAAAGATGTGAGGGTTACACTTGGCAAACCACAGGACAACGTCTCAAATACACGATTTATAAAAATGGAATGAGATTCTGCTGTGCGTTTGGGGAGCAACACAAGCATCGGGGCAGTGGGGGAACAGCAGCAGAACGAAGGCACCTTGTGAATCCCCTCCCCTCATTCCTGCAGCAGCACGAGTCGGGCAGGCATGACCGCACAGCTCAACCCACCGAGAGGCTGGGAGAGCCCAGGCTGCTTGCCCTTGTCACTCACCGGGGTTTCATAGATGCTAAGGGTGTCAAGCGTCATTCTTGCAAAGAATTTACCGTCGTGGCTCCACCTAAGAAAAGGAAGAAGTGTCAGGCTGCTGAGAGGACAGAGGACAGGGCCACAGAGGGGCCACTGCGGGGGTACTCACTTGAAGATGGGCCAGTGGGCTGAGCTCTCGCAGTGGAAGCCTCTCTTCTTATGTCCTGTAAGGATGTCCCAGATGATGATGGCCTGGGGGTCATCCTGAGTGTCAATCAGGGGGCTAAAGGTCACCAGGTATCTATAAGAGAGGGGACACTTAGCACCTCACTCTTGTGTGATTTGTTGAGACAGTACACGGACATGCAGTCCAGGCTGGCCTTGAATTTGTGATCCTCCTGCTTTAGCCTGACAAGTGCTGGCATTACAGACATGTGCTCCTTGGTGAGGGTCACACCTCCATGTGCACAAGCGAGTGTCTGCCCTTTAGTGTAGCATACCGAGCCACAGCACAGACCACTGCTGGTCGCAGCACAGGACGCACAGACTCCTGGATCCGGCACTTTGCCCACACACCACACTCCTCCACAAAGGCTCTTAGGTCCCTCAGAGGAGGGACTGAGCGAGGGGGTCCAGATGTGAAGCAGTCATCCATTCTGGCACCAGGCTGCTGCAAGGGTCACCGACAGCAATGTCCCACCAAGAGCAGTGCAGGACCAGAGGGAGGATCAGTGAGCAGTTCTCACTGCTCCAGCCTGATTAATCAAGACTAACGAGGTGACCAGACAGATGGCCACACATGGATCTAAAGCAAGCATCATCCTGGGGGGACACCTGTGCCTGGAGCTTCCCCAGCAGGTATCTACCTGACACCGGCTTGCCTGCAGGTACAGACCCTGTTCCCTTGTTTACAAGGTGCAAATACCCTGCCCACAATGCCCCTTGCAGAGGGAGGCAGTGGGCAAGGCAGGAGGTTGCGGTGGGAGCCAGTCCTGCTCTTCTCCATGGCTTCCCACGACTGTCCTCCTCCTAGAGCAGCTGTGAAATCCCGACCAGCCAGACCTGCTGAAGGAGCCACAAAGCCCTGGTGGAAAAGTGGGCTTTCCCACCACACCTACTGGCCAAGGCGCTCATCACCGAAAGTGCGGGGACGGACACAATCCAGTGGCTCAAGTGGACACACACAAGTGTAAACAGGCCAACGATATGGCAAGTGATGGGAACACAGTGCAACTGAGAAAGGCCTCAGGTGTGAAGAAACCCATCAGGCCCTGTGCACCTGCAAACTAGTAACCCTGAGAAGAGACCAGGCTGTGTTTCCATGTGGACCCAGTCCTAACACTTGCTGTTGGAATGAGAAACACAGATTATCCTGTCCCAAACATATGCAAGACAGGAATTAATGGGTACTTAAAATACACGACATAAAAATTATCAATCCCTGCTGGAGGCGTGGGTCCAGTGGTGGAGCCCCTGACCAGTGAGTATAAGGCCCTAGTTCAAACCACAACAGCACCAAAAAAACAACCTACCAATTTAAGAAAAACCCATTGGCCAGAGCTTACAGTTTACAGGAAATACAGGGATTAAAGGAACAAGTTCAATGACACCTTGATAATGACATGGACCCACAGGACACACAAGGAAAGACATCCACGACAGGAGGCCTCAGAGGCACAAGTACTAAACGCCTCACACTGATGGGGTCCAGTGCAGACGGGAGCAGGTGCTGTGGTGCCGAGCTGCTAAGGAAGAGAAGCAGGAGCAGGATGGAGCCAGTGTAGGAAGACACCTTTATTCTTTATCTTACTGCTGCAGCTTCAGACAGGCGTCCACAGCTGTCTCTCATGTCCCGCACCTGACTCACAAAGTCCAACCTCAGAAGTGCCCCAAATCTAAAACTTTCTCAGTACTAACATGAGGAAACAGGTGGAAACTCCACCTGATCTCTGTGAGGGGTCATGGTCAACACAGCTCACTAAATACTGTGTGAAGTACCTGCAGGCTACGGCTTGTGTAAGAACCATGAACGAGCGTCCTTTACCCCCGGAGCCCAATCCCCAAACACCTCATTATGTATAGGCAAATATTTTGAAATCCAGGGGAAAAAAATCCAAAATACTTGTGGTCTTCAGCGTTTCCGGTAGGGACCCTCAACCCAGGTTCCTTGGCCATTTTCCGTGTGGCACAGTACCACACTGAGAAGCTCAAAAGCACAGGCACACAGCTGGCGCAGACACATCAGGACACAGGCGCTCCAGGCAGCGCAGATTAACCCGGGCGCAGGGCACCAAAGGCACAGGGAGGGTTGAGAGGTGCCCTGACAGCACCACAGCACTTGATAACCACACTGTGGCATTCCTAGAAATGCACATGTGGGGTAAAGACACCTGTTTCAACCTTCACCCACAAGTGACCTGCTCCAAGACGCCCAGCAGATGCCCGAAACCTCTCAGTACCAAACCCCATGTATCTCATACCCTGGATGAGTGTGCAGTTGGCACGGTAAGAGATTGACAAAAACAGTCAATGAGAACAATTGGAACAATATTCTGCGATAAAACTTGTATCATTGTGATTTCTCTTCAAGAGCCGTGCAGAATCTTCACAAGGCCATGCGCTGTGCTCCCAATGGCCCAGGCAATGATGCTTCTGCTTGCCTGTTTGGAGCAGCCTCTTAGTAAAGAGAGACTGCCCACAATTCTTTACCAAGGGTGGAAATTTTAAAAACCAAAATGCAGCCCGCACATGGCTCCTGCTCACCGTTCGCAAGGGGAGAAGTCAATGAGCTGGACACCCAGGTGACTGAATCTCTGGATCTGTTTGAATTTCTCTCCCCCCCACAGCGCGATGCCTCTCTGATGGAAGGTGGCCAGGTAGGTGCCCTTGGGGGACCAGCGCACATACGTCTCTGTCCATCTCTGGAAAAGGGGAATCTGTTAGCATGACAACTCCACAGAGAATCCACCTTCACTTCTCAGAGAGCAACCTTGATGGACAAGACATCCCACCAGCTTGTCCCTGAGCTGAGGGACACGGGACAAGTGTACCTACCGCTCTCTCTTCAATTGACACAGGGTCCTTCACGTCGTTCCAGAATATGGACGTACGGTCTCCGCTCTCAAAAATCACACTGTACTGATCTCTGCACTCGGCCTCCTCCAGCCAGTAACGCAAATTCCCCTACAGAGAGCCACAAGCAAGGATGTAACGCGAGGCCACTGATGCTGTCGCAGCCAATGCTCTTGGAGATGACAAACTTGCTATGCACAACCCAAGTGAGCCAGCGCTCCCTTTAGCACATTTTGTGCAACCTACCAGGTCTTTGAAAGGCTGTTTCTCTGGAATGTCCCATTCGTCACTGATCGTCATGTACCTGGAGGAGAACAGGCACTGCTGAGCCGCACTCATTGGCGGGGTGAGGACACAGCAGCACCATGTCACCCGCCCCGTGGCTGCTGCCCAGGGGCACAGGGCAGAGGCGCGAAGCTGCTGGTCCTTGGCCAACAAGCCACGAACATCCAAAAGGCCACCAGCACCCACAGAAGACCACACAGCCACATGAGCCCACGCTGTCAGTCATGTGAGCACGCACTTGTCGAAGTCGGTGAAGAGGTTGACCCGGAACGTGTGCTGCTTGTCCAGCTTGTAGCCATCAGCATTCTTCACAGCATCTACGGCATGGGCAGGAGACGCGTACTCCAGGAAGATGTACCTGAGAGACAGAGGAGGATTTGCACTCACAATCTGTAATTACACATTAGCCTGTGTCACTGCTATGTCCCCAAGGCAGTGAAACCGAGAAATGAGTGCACACCCAGGCAAAATGGTCTCCAGTAGTAATGGGAACGTGATCTTGACTGTGCTGACACTCCCATGATGGATGTGTACGTGGATGCTTATCAAATCGTGTACTTTAAGTTGCACAGATTCTGTGGCTGTCAATGTTCTCAAGAAAGCTATCAGAAACTGTCCACCATCACCTGTCACACAGAGTCACACCAGGTCTCAGAAGACATATCACACATAAAATGCATCACGCACTGGCTAGAAAGGTCACCTCAAAACGGGAGCGCCTCCTGCACTACGTAACTCCTTCAGAGAAACCACCCTGGGGAGCTTTTTAAACTTTAATTTAGGCCTGGGGACGTGGCTCAAGTGGCAGAGCACCTGCCTTGCAAGCTGAAGGCCCTGAATTCAAACCCCAACACCACAAAAACAAACGCAACAAAGCTATCCTTTTAACTTAGAAAAGTGACTGGTGTCAGGCTCACTTTTCCATGAACCCCTCATGGTCCAGAGGCTGGCTCTGCCATGTAGTCAGTGGACAAGGCCCCACAGAGCAGGAAGGGACAGGTGAACTTCCGCAAACCATCCAGAGCACCAAGGGTGGCCACCGTCTACGGCCCAACAGCCTCACTCCTAAGTGCCAGAGAGAAACCCCATGCACACAGAAGGACATGGGCACAAGAAGCACTCCCATTTCAGAGATGTTAAGATGTGTGTGAGTGGAGGGGGGGTGGGAGACCATGCTTGAATGAAGTTCCAGAGGCAAACTTCCCTGAAACTCCGCCAGCTTCTCATCAGCTGGCCTGTCACCAGGTTGTGCCAGCTGCACTTCCGGGGCAGATTTAGGGCCAGCTCTGATTTCTTCCCGGTCAGCAGCCAGCTCGCAGCCCCGCAGCTAAGAGCCTCCTGCCTCTCCTCCCGCTTGAGCCCAGAAACCCCAGAAATGACAGTGCTGAGAGCTCCCAGCACTGAGTGAAGGGGAACACAAGCGCCTCTTCCACCAGAGTGCACTCACCCTTTGGTCTTCCCGTCCTCTTCAGGGTAGAAGTCATTTGTGACCTTTCCAAACTTGGAGAAGATTTTGTGGATGACGTTTTTGAGTTTCTCCAGCCGGTCAGGGCCCACCTGAGGGACGTTGTCCACCACAATGACAGAATCAATGCCATCTGCCTCCTGCGGCCGCTCTTTGAGGACATCACCAAGCAATTCTGTGACAGAAGAATTGTCAAGTGACTTCTGGTCAACAGGAGCTCAGAACACTGAGCAAATGTCCAAGAAGCACCACTCTAAGGACTGTATTGTGACCCACAGGAACCGCGGCCCCAGCTTGCCTCAAAGCCTTATCTTCGCAATCCTTCCCATGTGGCTTCTTGCAAAGAACAGAGGACAAGGAAAACCTGAAGAATCCAATACTAGATCCCAGATTTCACAAGGTTTCTAGTCACACCCGGGCAAAATCCCAGTGTCGACAGCACAGGGCTGTAACGTGGACTTTTCACAGATTTCAGCATATCTAAGGTCTAATATTTAATTCACAGCACTTTTGTTTTAGTGAGTACAAGTTATTAGAACTATCCATGGACACAGAAAACAAGGAAGAGAAGCCACAAGACAGCCCCCCACCCCCAAGGGCAGGGACACTGCGTGGGGTACCTTCGCACCTCTCCAGGGCAAACAGCCCTCCACCAGGCGCTGTATGCAGGAACAGCTCACAGAACTCAGGGGAACTGGGCAGGGGGAGGTTGGTGGTACTGGGTGTGTGAACTCAGGGACTCACGTTTGCTAGGCAGGCACACTGCCACTCAAGCCTCGCCTCTAGCCCTTCAAGAGAACTCTTGATTACATTCAGTGGCTTATTGTAAAGACTATTACCAGCCAGGTGTCGGTGGTTCACAGTGGTAACCCCACGTACTTGGGAGGCTGAGGTCGGGGGGACCATAGTTAGAGGCCAGTCTGGGCAAATAGTTCATGAGACCCCCATCTAGAAAATAACCAGAGCAAAATGCACTGGAGGTGTGGCTCACATGGTAGAGGGCCTGCTTTGCAAGCACAGAGCTGTGAGTTCAAACCTCAGTCCCACCAACAAATAAAATACAAGGTATTAGAAATGAAGAGAGGCAGAGGAACAAGCTACCCCCTCCCCACACCCACACACAGGGTGCAACACTGCAGGCACCCCACAGTTCAAGTACGCAGAGGCTCTGGACTCTCCTTGTGCTTCCCAAGAGGCTTCATTGTGCAGTGAGTAGTCATTGGGCCCCTTCCCTCCTCCCCCCAGGATTGGGGTGGGAATGGAAGTCCCAACCTCAATCTGGTAGCTGCTTCCCCTGGCAACCAGCCCCACCACCCCAAAGCCATCTAGGAAACTTCTAGCCAGCAGTGGTATCATTAGCATACAAAGAGGCACTTCACTTTGGAATTCCCAAGGTTACTAGAAGCTGAGAGCAAATGTGCACGTCCAGTGACACCACAGTATCACAAGGCAGCACCAGGGCAGACAGCCATTTCAACCAGGGGCTTAAGCCTGAGGGCTTGTGGCAGCAGATTTTCTTCTTAGGTGGTACATCCTGCCAGTGATAGCGTCTTCCACCTGACTGCTGCTGGGAGGCATCACAGACAGCCAGTCTGTAAACGCTGATCAGGACGGGGTGTGGAGTGGTGGTTGCACTGACTTCCCACAGGTTCCAAGTGCTAATAGTTCTTTCCCTGATGACACCCCAAACACAAGGTACTATGTTCATGCCACCTGCTTTTAACTCAAACCCTGAGTACTCAAACTACTTCTCAAATAGACGCATTCCCACAAGTGGCCAGCGAGAAAAGCAGAGAGAAAAATGGGTGGACAAGGACTGGGGGCAGAAGGGGAAGGAGAAGACAAACACAAACAGGTCTGAGAAAGGAGAGCCTGGAGTGGGTGGTGTGGGTGATGGCTCAGTGACTGGGGCACTGCCTCTGCTATTGGGTGAGGCTCTGGACCACACAGCTCCAGCAGCAATAACAGGACCTGTACCTGCTGGAAATTGGCACAAGGGAAGCAAAGCAGTCAGCCGAAGTAAAGCAAACCCATCCAGGTTTTAATATGATCTAAGTCCCTACACCCAGCCGGCTTGCATAGAAAGCTTTGAGTCACTAAGAGCTGGGAGAGAAGGATGTTGAAAGCTGTCATCAAAGATGTCCAACAGCTGTGGTACAGCAGCCTGCTTTGCAAGAGGGAAGTCCTGAGTTCAAATCCCATGCCAAAGCCTGCCCATCAGATGAAAGCACACCAGAAAGAAGCTACAGGGCCGTTTCAAACACAGCTAAAGGAGGAGCTGTGCTGGGGACACAACTGTGACCTAAGCTACTGAAATGGGGACAGGAGAATCCAGTTCAAAGCCAGCCTACGCAACTAGCAAGACCCTGTCTTAAATAAAATTTAAGGGCTGAGAATGTAGTTCAGAGGTAGAGCACTTACCTAACCCACAGGCCCTGGATTCAATCTCCAGTACTGAACTGAAAAAACAAAGCTAAAGAATGGCTCGTGACACATATTTCTACTTGTTTTAGAAGCTATCACTCTAATTTCTCATTATAATACAGAATGTCAACAAGCCAAATATAACAGATGTTTAAACAATTCTTTGCTCCCTTTCATTCTCAGAAGTTAAGGTAAGCCATGCATGGTGGCCATGCCTGTAGTCCCAGCTACTCTGGAGGATAAGGCAAGAGGATGGCTTGAACTCACAGATCTGCCAAGTCTGGGCAGCCCAGCAGAACCCATACACTACACCAAGTTAAATTCTCATAAACCATTTTCAATTAATTTCACACTTTTATAAATGACACTGAAAATGTTATCTGAAAAACTAATTCCCAGGGTAGGGCATCAGTGGCTCCCGCCTGTAATCCCAGCTACTCAGGAGGCAGAGATCAGGATGATTGTGGTTCAAAGCCAGCCTGGGCAAATGGTTCTAGCTGAGGAGCCTATATCTTGAAATAACCCAACACAAGCAGGTCTGGGGTTATGGCTCAAGCGGTAGAGCTCCTGCCTAGTAAGTGTGAGGCCCTGAGTTCAAACCCCAGTGCCACCAAAAAAAAAAAAAAAAAAAGAAAAAGAAAAAATTCCCGTGCTGGTGGAGTGGCTCAAGTGCTAGAGCACCTGCCTGGCCCCAAGTTCAAGCCCCATGCTTAATGGCAGAGCACCTGTGCTCAAGGTCCTGGGCCCAATTCCCAGCACCAGGCAGAGAAAAAGAAAAAGTTAATTGTCGCTTGAATGTCAAAGATGCTCAAATAGAGACCACAAAAAGGAAGAAGGGAAAGAGGCAGCTTCGAATGACAACCACAGCAGACATCCTCACCTTAAGAGCCGTGAAACCCCTGGGTCACTTTCCAAGCGCCCTCACCATACAATTAAATGGCCTGTTAGGCTGGATTGGAACTTACAAGGCTTCTAATAAAAGGTTTAGCTCTGCACACTGTGCGCTCCTTCCCACCAGTTCAAAGCGTCTAGAGCCTGCAACAATCTGCTACACCCAGGAGGGGAGTAATCAAAGCAACTTCTCAAGTGAGCCATCCTTTTTTTCCTTTCAAGTCAAGGTGTCCCTGTGGAGCCAAGAAGAGCACACGATGGCCTAGAACTCCCCATCGTCCTGGTCCTGAATGCTGGAGTTACAGCCAAGTGCCACCAACCTGGGGAGACATCTCACGATCACTATCAGTTACTCTGCCTCTCAGATTCCCAGTCTGGCTCCAAGAAAAAAAGAAACACATGATAAAACTAAGCAGCAGGGCTGGCGGAGTGGCCTGCCTAGTGAGTGAGAAAGCCTAAGTTCAAACCCCAGTACTGCCAAAAAAAAAATTAAAAGAAAACCTGAGTAACAAAACATAATACTTAGCGAGCCAAAGAAGATGTTAGTGTTGAAAATCTTGGCCGTGTGAGCATGTGCCTGACCCAGCACCAAGGCAACTGAATATTAAGCAGAAAGCAAGGTGCGATCCTGGTTCAGACCCTGGACAGACCCCATGCTGCTCCTGAGATCCAGTCCACGTGGAAAGGCCATCTCTCCTCTTCTGAGACCCCTGCACAGCAGACCACAGCCGGCAACCTGAGGAAAGCTGGCAGCCTGAGTTCCAGTGCCTCAGGACCAGCCAACTCCCCTTCCTGTCACTTTGGCCACCACTGCACAAGTCAAGAGCAGGCTCCTGGAGGACGCGGGCTGGCCGGCCTTGTGCTCATGTCTGCACCTCGTCAGAGTCCCGATTCTAGCAATAACTCACGCTAGGATCTGTGAATCTGATGGGGTCAAACAATACTTAAAAAAAAAAAAAAAAAGCCCACAAAAAACCTCAACTGCAGAGCAAATAACTGACGGTTCAAAAGGAGTTTCAAAACCAAACACAGATTTCAAAATACAAGCAGAGCAGTGTGGAAAGAGTCTGGTGGAGACCTGGCCTGAGGCGGCGAGGGGTGGTGACCAGATGCCTCCTCAGTCCTCCAAAATGTGCTGCAATTTCTGTGGGTCGTGCCAAAATGTCTTTTATGAGATAAATTACAGTAAGACAACAGTGACAGTAGCTGGTAACCCCCTTAAAATGTTTAAATTGCAAGCTGGTAATTGCACAGGCTCTGGAGATCTCTTGGGGGCATCACAGGCCAGTCTTTCTTTTTCTTCTCCACATCTTGGTATTAACTCAGTCAACATACACAGGAATCGGTGGTGTTCCCAGCTTGGAGAGTTAAGACTAAAAAGGGAGCAGGAGATCCATCAGTTATATCAATCAGAAGCCACTTTGGGGGCTGGGGTGTAGCTAAGGTAGTAGGTCACCTGCCTAGCAAACGTGAAGGACTAGCTAAAATTTAAAAAAAGAAAGAACTGTAGAAGCCTCTTTGGGAGGCATGCCCCCAGACACAAACCAGAAACAAATGCCTATAAAACCAACCACCATAGGAGAGAAGGCAGAACAAGACGCACAACCTACAATGTTAAAAAGCTGTTTAAAGCCTGGCGCTGGTGGCTCACGCCTGGAACCCCAGCTACTCAGGAGGCAGAGATGAGGAGGATCGCGGTTCGAGGCCAGCCTGGGCAAATAGTTTGCAAGCCCTTATCTCGAAAAAAACCCATCACAAAAAAAGGGCTGGTGCAGTGGCTTAAAGTGAAGGCCGTGAGTTCAAGCCCCAGTACTGCAAAAAAAAAAAAAAAAGTCTAAAAAAAGTAACAATCTGAACAAGTTTTAAGAAAGCAACAATGTTACAACCTGGGGGAGTGTTGTTTCAAAAATAACGATGTTACGATCGCAGCTAGTAATTGCACTAGACCTAAGAGGGAAGGAAACCCCCGGAAGACACCTGTGCGGGGAGAGGACCTCTCTGGGGTCCCCCCAGGTCGGGTTTGTTGCAGGTGACAGGCGCCCCAAGTGTCGTCGGTCCCCTTCTCGGGCTCCCCGCCCGCCCGGGGTGACTCCGCGGACCCCGTCGCCGGCCGTCCTCACCTTCCTCGCTCACGTCGTCCACGAAGTCCTCGGGGTCGCTGAAGGAGGGCTCGTCAGCCTCGCCGTTCTCCACCGCCCGCGGCTCGGCCTCGGCCGCGCTGCCCTCGGGATCGCCCGCCGCCTCGGGCTGCTCATCCGCCGGTTCCCCGGGGGCCTCGGCCGGTGCCGGTGCCGGGGCGGCGGGCTCGGTCGACGGCGCCGCTTCCTCCGTCTCGGCCTTCACCTCGGGCTCCGACCCGGCCGCCGCCTCTTCTACGGCGTCCTCGGTCCGCGCCGCCTCCGGAACGCCGGAGCCTGCCAGTTCCTCCTCTGGAGGCGGTTCGGCGGCCGGCTGCTGCCGCGCGGGCTCGGCCCGCTCTTCCGCTGCCGCCGCCTCGGGCGCCGCCACGTTCTCCGCGTCCTGCATGGGCCCCGCGCTGTTTCTCGCCGGGCTCTGCCACCGCCGCCGCCGTGCTTCCGACTCCCAGGATGCACCGCGCGCCGGCGAACGCCGAGCCATGTGCGTGCGACCAGGGAAGACCGTACCAAGTTGATATATGGGGGGAAACACCCATACCCTGATTCTCACGGCGAACCCGGAGGAACTCAGATGCGTACCCATGTATCTATCAATAACCACAAATCTGTGCCTGAGAAAATAATTTCTCAATTCAAATAGAAAAATTTGCTTCCAACAGCGATAAACTCACGGGGCGCTACCACGACCCCATTTGTGGTAGCAGATGGTTTAGTCCAAAATGGCAGTGGCTCCCTTTCCTGTCCCAGCAGGCGAAGCGGGGAAAGGACTGAACTATTTGAAGAGCCCACAGGCAGATTCCAGAACTTATTTTAACAGCAGGAATTGCATGGAAATATGACGTAAGTCAAGAACTAGTGCCATAGGATCCTACGAGTTGAACCAACTTTTTTTCTTGTGCTACCTTCGTTTTTAACCAGACGCTGCATGGCTTTCATTCCCCCTGTACATGGCTGTGTTTTAGACCCGTCTACTGACGGGGCAAAAGAACGGACGATTCCAAAAATACGTAAGGAATTCTCAGCAAGCCAGAGCTGGCCAATGCCACTACAAAGATGCCTGCCTGGCGCAATATGAAAATGTATGCGAGTGGCTTTAGTTACTTAGGGCGATCCTTCCATAGCAACCATAACCTAGCCTTGCCCTGTTCTGCTAGTCACTATGGTTTAGCCCAGCAGAGACTGCCGCCCTCGCAGGCGCGAGAGCGCGTCATGCGATGTGGGCGGGGCCACGGGCCACGTGGGCTGGGGCGGTCTAGGGCTTGTGGCAGCCTGCCTGTACCCCACACTTTGCAGGAATGTCCATTAGTATTTGTACATATGTTTTTTAAGTGGACTGGAGGCAGCTACTGTTGTGGGATGTCTGGTCATCCTAAAAAAAAAAAATAGTAAAAACGACCAGCTGGATTAGTAGTGCATGCCTGTAATTCCAGCATTTGGAGGCTGAGCCAGGCAAATTCAAGGCCAGCGTGAGCTGCATAACTAGCTCCAAAAACAAAATCAGGTGGCTGCCAGGGGCTGGGGAGGGAGGTGCCAGTCATCTTGTTGCCGGAATCTCAAGCTGAGATGTGGGACACTGAAGCAATTAGCAGGAAGCAATGTTTATTGCGCCATCACAGACCCCGAGGACTGAGGCCTGAGAACAAAGGGGTCTCACCTTATATCCCCTTGTAAACAGGTTACAGAAGCAAACAGCAAGGTCTAATCCATACATGGTAACATACAATTCTGTAGGCCACTTTACCCACGTTCGGATTCCTCTGCTACGCCCTCCCTACATCCCTGCTACTTTATCAGAACTGAGGCCCAGTCTGTTGTCTTCTGGGCCTCCTCACTGCTACCATGCTCTCCTGGGTGTCTTCATCTCTGCTGTTTCGGGAACTCTTCCTGCAGCTGGCTTACTATTGCTGCTGCTCTGCTGTCTCCTTGTACTCCCAGCTCAGCCTACTCTTCTGACGAAAATCAGAAGTAGGCAAAAAAAGACTGTTAGGTCCCTGGCGTTCTTGGGGCGGGCAGAAGGTCTGGAGGCTAGCACTGAAACTAGACCCCCTGATTTATGACTTTGTTTCTCCCTGCCTGATTGTTTCTTGGCTTGCAAAACAACTCAGGAACTTCCAGCTACTCAACTAGCCAGGCATGTCAACCTTTTCCATCTGGTGGTCACAGATAATCAGAGACCAGACTCTCTCTACCTCCTGGATGTCTTGGCCCCTCCTATAAAGCCCACTACCCAATTCAGCCAAGCTGCTTCACTCTGAACCCGCAAAGAGTGACAGCCCTGTGGTCTGGTTCCTAATAAATCTTTCCTTTCCATACGTGGTGTGGTCTTTATTTGGCAGTACCTTACAAAAACCAGTTGAACTGGTGAAGTGACTTCGGTGGTAGAGCCCAGGAAGTCAGTCCCTGACCAGTACTAACACTAAAAAAATATATTTTGCACTGGGGTGTGGCTCAAGTAGTAAAGCACCTGCCTAGCAAGCATGAGGCCTTGAGATCAAATCCCAGTGCAGCCAAAAAAAAGACATGTTGAGCAAAGCGTTATGTTGCAACACTGGGGAGCAACGAATGAGAGTGTGCCAAGCTGATAGAAAAATGAGCCCGAGTCTGCTTATATAGCCCCGAACTGGGGTTGGCAAGGGTATTTGCACTAATCACAGCAGTCATGCAGGGCAATCATGCAAATTAAGGAGTGTGTTTCTGCCAATCATGAAGGACCCTGTTTGCACCAATCACAGTACAGTCCTTCGTTTGTTTGCACCAATCACAGGCTTTCCGTTGGTCCACCAGGGGAAGTGCGCCCCCTCTGGCGGGGATGAGAATGGCTGCTGAGTTCACCCAGGCTTGTGACCGACAAACGTCCAGCACAAGCAGTTTGTGATGGTCACGGCTGGGACAGAGCTGTGCTGGGCAGCAAGCAGCTGTGGTTGTCGTGGCTTCCTCAAGGTGACCCTGGAGTGTTTGTTTAAAGCAGCTGGGCAGCCATGAGGGCAGTCAGGCCGGCCGCTTGGTCCTCCACTGGAGGACTGCAGGACCAGGGAAGATGTCACAGCTGTCAATCGGGGAGTCAAACAGCCTGGGGGCATCTCGGCTTATTCAAGGAAGATGGACATTTACACTAAGGTCCATCATCATCATCAACAGCATTTTAGCTGCGTTTAACAATATGCTCAGGGACAGGTCTCTGTGCTCTGTCTCCACATCTGTCTGGGCGCAGCCTTCTGGAGGTGACCAGGGCACAGCTGCACGCTTGCAAGCGCCCCCAGGGGGCTGGGGCCGTGTAACCGAATGCATTCCAGAGTTGAAGTGCCAGCTGAGGGCATCCCACAGGAAGCAGAGCAAGCTGCAACCGGCAGAGAGGTCCAGCAGCCTGGTGTCTCCTTGTGGGGAGGGAAGATGACAGGAGAGGGGAATGTGCCTTAAATGTGCGTGAGTGAGTGGTGCCCTGGGTGGGTGGCCTAGCTGTCCTAGCCTGCCCTAATCTTTTGGTGATTGCGGTACTGGGCTTCGGTGCCTGCTAGGCAGGAAGCCCTTCTCTTCAGCCATGTCCGCAATCCTCCTACTGTATGCCCTCCATCACAGCTGGGATGACAGGTGAGCACTACCACACCCAGCCTTTTTCCATCAAGATGGGGGGCTCTCAGGAACTTTTTTTTTTTTTGTCCCAGCTGGCCTGGAACTGGGAATCTTCCTGATCCACCTGATCTCAGCCTCTCTTGTAGCTTAGAATGACAGGCATGAGCCATTGCTACCGTACTGAGCTATTGGTTGAGATGGGGTCTTGTGAACTTTTGCCCAGGCTGGCTTTGAAATTTGGTCCTCCTGATCACCACTTCAGGAGCAATTAGAGTATCTGGCTCTGTCCTATTCTAATCTTGTTTGTCTCTGAGGACATCACTGCCTGCTAAGGTGGCCAGAGTCCCTCTTTAGATGAGCTGGCTGACACTGGTTGAATCCAAGATGGTCAAGATTCTGCTTGGATCTACAAAAGGTTGCCAAAGTGATTACCAGACAACCTCGAAGTTCACTTTAATGTCATCTGCATGCTAAATGACACATACCCTGGTCCCAGGACAGATGACAGTTGCCATGGTGACAACTGGAAAGAACCATAAAAGCAGCAAAAACAGGTGGAGCTCAAATTCCTGGAAATTCCCACCCATCCCCGGAAGACATGAATAACCCCCATCAGCCTGCTCCTCCCCCTCATTTCTCTTGTTCTGTATTCCAACCACCAAGGGCTGAGTTTACTTCCCACTTCTCCCACTTCTTTTTTTTTTTTTTTTTTGGCAGCACTGGGGTTTGAACTTACAGCCTCATGCTTGCTAGGCAGGCGCTTTTACTTCTTGAGCCACTCCACCAGCCTGCCTATCTCCCACTTCCATTCTTGGCCAAGAATAAAAGCCCCCTTCCCTGCTCAATTGATGCTGGATCTTGTTATTGATTCCTCAAACCCCAGTGCCACCAAAGGGGGAGAGAGAGAGACAGAGACAGAGACAGAGATAGGGAGAGGATATTTTGAGCCTGTGACACATGAAGAAGCATGGTGGGGGAATGCACGCCTGGCTGGAGCTCCTCCTCTATCGTCACCCGTGTCCTGGGAGCTCCAGATACCTCAGGACCTCAGAGTTGCTCCTGCATTTGGGGTGGGCAGTTGAGCGACAGTCAACGCCCTAACAGGGACTGTGCACCTCTAGGGATGGGGTGGTGGGATCAGGACCAAAGGCACAGACGCCACCAAGGACTGGGATTTTATCTGCCTTGGTGGGTCCTTCCCTGAGGTCCGCCATGCAGATGCTGCCTGGAAGTGGGAAGAAAGCAGGGCTCCATCAGGAGGACACAGGCCATTGTCTTAATTGTTGGGCCAGGTGTGGCCATAAGGGGGTTGTTGAATGAAGTCTTGTTGTCTGGGGTGTCATCCCCCCCGAATGGTGCAGTGAGAGGGATCAGGTTTCTGCCCACCTGGGAACTACCAACAACTTTTGTTCCTCTTTCTGTCATTGGAAACAGTTTGGGGACTTTCTTCCTGACCTGACTCCTGTGCACCATGAGTACCGGGTCTTTTGGGGCACCTGGTGGCTCACGCCTGCAATCCCAGCTACTCAGGAAGCTGAGATCAGGAGGATCATGGATCGAAGCCAGCCCTGGTAAATAGTTTGAGAGACCCTATCTTGAAAAAAACGTTGTCAATGGCTGGGGACAGAGCTGAGTGCTGGGCAAGCCCCTTCTACACACACAGCTGCTGTGAAGGACAGCCACAGCCGAGGCCGCTCTGCCTGGAGAGAGCCTGGTGCCGTTGGGCAGTGACCATCTGGACAGTGGATAGAGACTGTTCCTCAAAGGAGGGCACTTCCTCAAACATGTTCAGCTGACGAGTGGCCATCAGGAGCGAAAATGTTCCCCAGCCGAATTGGACTATAGCCACTGTGCCCAGCTTTTT